CCAACATCTCCAAACCATCTCCCAGTTTCGCCGTTTAAAGGGATGGAGGCACACAGAGCACATCTGGTCCAAGACCTCCTTGGCATCGCTTGGGATGGTCTGTCGTCCCGCTGTTACACAACGTGGGACGACTCGATTCTGAAGCTGACGCGGCTGACCAACGTTGGGATTTTCTCCAAATCAACTGACCAACTTTGGAATCCAAATGGAATCCACCCATTTCTTGCTCTGTGACTCTGTGAATCCACAACATCTTGCTGGACATTAAATCGATTTCGAAGGCAACAAAAGGCAGAAAATCTCATGCCAACTGACGCCTTGCAGTGCCGCAGCAGCTCTCCCACTGTACCATCCACCACGAGGGCTACCCCAAAATCCAATTGTCTGAAAGTGTCTTTTTCACATTGCTTAATCCATGGATATCCATGGAATTAAAGCTAATTTCCCCAATATTTGATGGCCGTAACTTATTTCGCAAACAGCTAGGCAGTTCTGTCCTTCGCACACACCGACTGCAAACTCTTCTCCAAGCCTCAGCATCTGCTCACGAGTTTGACAATAACGGAAATGCTGCCAGGGTCCGAGTCACCGACAACCTGCAAAATGAATGAACTAATTGAATTTACCATGGTCTTGTATATATATATATACATATACGTATATTCATATATATATATATATTTAATATAAACATCTCCATTACAGGGCCAAAATTGAATAGCTAAAACTAGCTCGACTATCTTGACATCAACCAGTCCTAGGTCCAGGGTGACATCGATCCCTTTCTCTGAGAGGCTCTGTTTGTCTGCCGTGGGCCGTGAGAGCGCATCATCCAGCTGCAACAGCCTCAGAGTTGGGACCGTCCTCCATTTTGTTGAAACGAAACCAGTGGAAATGGGATGATGATGACGGTCCTCGTCAAGCCGGTTTCAAGTCTCACTTGGAAAGTGGAGAATGTGAACTCAATACAGGATGGGGCCTCCCAGTGATGTGAACGTTGAAACCTGACCTGGCTCTGCACCAAAACCTGCCAGACCTTCTCCGGAACCTTCTCCGGAACCCTGTTGAACCTGACCTGGCTCTGCACCGAAGCCTCCCAGAACCTTCTACGGAACCTTCTACGGAACCTTCTCTGGAACCGGAAAGTGGAGAATGTGAACTCAATACAGGATGGGGCCTCCCAGTGATGTGAACGTTGAAACCTGACCTGGCTCTGCACCAAAACCTGCCAGACCTTCTCCGGAACCTTCTCCGGAACCCTGTTGAACCTGACCTGGCTCTGCACCGAAGCCTCCCAGAACCTTCTACGGAACCTTCTACGGAACCTTCTCTGGAACCCTGATGGACCTGACCTGGCTCTGCACCGAATCCTCCAGGCCTTCTCCGGAAATCATTCGCCAGAATCTTCTCCGGAACCTTCTCCCTGTTGAACCGCACCAAAGCCTCCCCAACCTCCGGAACCTTCTCCGGAACCTTCTCCGGAACCTTCTCCGGAACCCTCTCCGGAACCCGGTCGAACCTGACCTGGCTCTGCACTAAAGCCTCCCAGACCTTCTCCGGAACTCCTTCTCCGGAACCCTGTTGCACCTGACCTGGCTCTGCAGCAAAGCCTCCCAGAACCTCGTCCGGAACCTTCTCCGGAACCCTGTTGAACGTGACCTGGCTCTGCACCAAAGCCTCCCAGAACCTTCTACGGAACCTTCTCTGGAACACTGTTGAACCTGACCTGGCCCTGCACCGAAGCCTCCAGACCTCCTCCGGAACTCCTTCTCCGGAATCTTCTCCGGAACTTTCTCCCTGTCGAACCTGACCTGGTTCTGCACCAAAGCCTCCCCAACCTCCGGAACCTTCGCCGGAACCTTCTCCGGAACCTTCTCCGGAACTTTGTTGAACGTGACCTGGCTCTGCACCAAAGCTTCCCAGACCTTCTCCGGAACATTCTCCGGAACCCTGTTGAACTCGGCCTGGCTCTGCACCGAAGCCTCCAGACAGCAACAGCACTCTGGGGCTGCCGCAGTTTGACCTTCCCTCACGAGTTTCTCTAGCCGCAGCATCAGCATCTTTACATTGCCCAACTTCATCATACTGTATCGTACATGCAAATATCACAACACGTCTGCAACACACATATTAACCAAAACATCCCTGATCTGGAGCAACCGAACCGTTTCGGGACACTGAGCGAGTGACACCTCGCAACAGCAGTTTATCGCCTGCCAGACTTGGCCATGTTTGCGATCCTTTTATGTTCGCAAGTGACGGCGGCATATAGTTCCTTTGTGTCTTAAGTTTCAACCCTGAGCCATAACTCTCCAAACCAAGGTAGCAGGAACACACTCAAATCGTCATAAGAATGGCAATTATTTTCATCATGTAATCATTCCATAGTTAAAGTATGTTATAGTATGTTATTATGTTCTAGTTATACTTATAGTCCTTCTGAATAGTACAGGTACCTTACGTGAGTACTCTGCCAGTCCAATCAGAAGGGTCTGGCATGCCATCTCCAAATCAATGCTGACGCTGACAAGTTCATGATGATTTTTGGGCCAAAACTGAGCAAGTGGCAGTCGCCTTCAAGACGCTTCAAGGCTTCCCAAATCTGGACATCGGACAGGGCGCATGATATATAATGCATGATGTCCGTGGGCAATACTACGATGCACATTTCCAGCACCTTATCTAGTGCAGAAATGGCAAGTCCGGCCTTATCTTCGAGATCCCAAGGTCAACAAAACTGCTGCCATCCGTCTGACTGCAAAATGCTTGCAGTGAATGTCCTGTCCTCTTTGTCCTTAAGCTTCCTGCGCGTTCCAGGTCGTGCAATCTTGTGTCAACTTCAATTCTGTCTAACGGTTTCATACATAAGGCGTGATGCCAAAACTGTCACATCATGTCATCATGTTAACCCATTGCTTGAATCATCCCCATCTACTTTACCATTTATTCCGACGTTTAAAATCCTCAAAAAGCACGCATCAAGACCACATTAATATAATAATCTTTCAACCACCTGAGACCATGACCCATGGATTCAGCTGCTCCATGACGGCATCTGCAGACGCCTGCAGCGTCTCGCCTGGGTTTCATATGATATCGATATCATATTTAAGTTGGTTATACCGTGCTCTATCCTGCTGATTCCCCACTCTACACTGCACTTTGAGAAAGGCCTGCAGAAACAGCCTAAAAACCCTTTATGCTTATGGATGCGAGAGAAAGCGTACAAATCCATGCACACCCACAGGCACCTGCAAACGCTTATCCGAGATCGCCAGAAACGATGTGCACAATACATATCAAGAGTGAAATAGCATAATAGTAATAATATTAATAATAATAATACTTCCGGTTTCACAATTGCTGGACTCGACAATTCCACCGAGTCTTTTGCCGGTGAGGAGGACGTGTACGGCAGTGTTGAGGAGAAGATGGGTTCTCCTGCATACCTGTCAACTGATGTGTGTCTAGGTCAGTTTCAAGGTCATTCGGGCATCTCGAACTAGTTTTAGCAGTTTTTCCTACCAAGGGTGCCTCAACGAAGTCGCACAGGTGCAACGGTCGCTCAACCCCAAGGATTTGAGCCCGACTGCACCGGCCGCGCAGGCAGCACACTGATTCGCATCTGTGAAATATATGTTCAAATATTTTGATATATTATAAAGGTATATATACAGAAGAATTACCGTGATGATCTTACCATTCTTATCGTTGTTACTACGATCTTATCGTTGTTTCCGGGTCTCTATGATGGTTTCGTAGAAGGTTATAGAGGCGGACCTGGGGGGAACCCCCCCCCCTTGAAAGGCGGACGAAGACATAGCCGGCCCAAACTCTTGCACTTGCACCGCTCGCCCCCTAGTACTTGCTACCCAAAGGGGAACTCAGGTAGCTCACCGCTACCTTTCGAGGCCAAAGTGCAATATCCCACAATTGCTGGGTAGAGTAGGCAGAGAGAGATATATATATATATAATAAATCTATGTATGTGTAGTGTATATGTATAGATAATATGTCATGGAATTATATGTGTATATATATGTCTATGTATACATCTTTAACTGTATTGTATATCAGGTAGGATTTTTGCAACTACTACAACGCAGTCCGTCGCAACGTTCTTGCTCCGACATTTTTCGTCGCGGTTGTTAGGGTGAACGCAACGAAGTTCTGGAGCAATTTGACATTATCGAGTTTCAGTGCGGGTCTTGACTTCCGTTGGGGGCGGGGATGTATGTCGCCGTGGTGGATGAAAGGGCATGTGCGGCTGTTGGCGTTCCTTGTTGTCCGCCTATGTTGCAAACGCAGCTTTAGAGGCGGACCTGGGGGGAATCGAAGGGGGGGGGGCCCCCACCCCCCTTGAAAGGCGGACGAAGACATAACCGGCCCAAACTCTTGCACTTGCACCGCTCGCCCCCTAGTACTTGCTACGCAAGGGGGAACTCAGGTAGCTCACCGCTACCTTTCGAGACAAAACACGTATAGACCTATTCTGCACCGCACGTGATGCCCCAGACCATGCCAGATGTTGCCGCAAACGCAACCCACATCTAAAGGTAAGCCCAACAAGTTGTTTTTTGTTGTTGTGCCCCACTGACAACTTGAAAACTCATACCCTCTGGTAATCCAACATATGGTGCATTTGTAGATGATTTACCTATCAAAAATGGTGCTTTTCCATTCGCTATTTTAAATTACGTCTGCACTTGGGGATGTGTCACAACCGCCTAGCCAGCTACGACTAGCTACAACAGGCTACAACCGGCTGCAACCCTCTCATGCAATGCCACGGTGCTTCATTGTTTCAAAGCCTGGCAAAGCACATGCGCGCTTTGCTGCACAACACGTGTCTGTAGCAAAGGCTAGTAAAGTATCACAACCCCATGGTACTCACTCACCTGTCATCCCCAATGCTTTCTTGTTCGCCTTGCTTGGGCATTGGCAGAACGACCAAGACAATTATGACAAGATACCCTACTTTTTTGAAGTCTTTTTAGCCTTTAAACCGTGATTGACAATTTGCACAATTCCCCAGCCAAGGTTGACCCAGTGATTTCCCTTTCTCCAAGCACCTTTCTGAATTGCCGCCCCCAGTCGTCCCACGTTGTTCCACGTTGTTCCACGTTGTTCCACGTTGTTCCACGTTGTTCCACGTTGTTCCACGTTGTTCCACGTTGTTCCACGTTGCACCGCCCCCAGGCACCTAGATTGCCGCCGGTTAAATCCAGCACCACGCAGTAGCCACCCACGTAATTCATGGCTTCCTCCACTGATAGGTTTTCGCCTCTGGAATGGTGCCATTGGTGCCAAACGTCAGCACACACAAAAGGCATCAAAAGGCCCATGTGTGCCACGTGTGCTACGTGTGAATGATCTTTTGATCATGATTTCCCGCTTCAAATCAAAACTTCCCCGTGATTTCGCTGGGTTTTAAACCAACAAAAGATGTAAGACCTATGGCTTTTTCATGCTTTTTCTCATCGAATCCTCGAAGCCTGAGCCAGGGCACAGGCGTGTGAGATCACCACCTCAGTGGAAATGGCCGCCATGGATCGCCATGAAATATGTAATGAGGTTAATAAATGTTAATACTACGCTAGAGTAATTATATATATATATACATACATATGATAGCTATATATGTATGATACTCATGGATTTTTGTTTTCATGAGGTTTATGAACCAATTTATAACTAGGGGGCTCCACATTGTGTATACATATATATATATATATGTGTGTGTGTGTGTTATGTTATGTTAGTGTAACTGCAGAAACCATGCAATATACAGAATAATATAGAACTTAGCGTGTATGTAGTGTACTTTACATGCCGACCCCCACATACAGGAAGATATCAAATACACAAATACACACGTATACATCTATATGTATAATATATATATATATATATGTATACATACATATATACATATACACATATCGTGGAATTATATGGACATATGACATATATGTATAATTTACATATTTTAAACGACAAACATGGGAAGAGTCGGCTCCATCAACAATGCAGGACGACAACAATGGGTGATCGTAGGAGCTATGTCTCAAGAGGGGCGGCTGAACAGCCAGTGCACCAGGGTTCTGACCCATTGCCATATCTGACTGAATTACTGAGTCGATAACATCCCCTTACTCAGCATCATTCAGGGTGGCATGGTGGCCGTTATGTGGCCGTTGCAAACGCCAAGCCACACCAAGCTCTGCTTCCCACATCATCTGAACGCCTGGTGTGGATTCCAAGGAAATATGGCTCGGCAAAGATCATTCCTCTAAAAGCAATAGGTTCATTGTTGTTGTGATTTCAGCGAAGCAAGCCCCAAAAAGATGCCGGAGAGTTAATTCCTATCAAAAAAGGCGATCTATGCAAACTTTTCTGCCTATTTTTTGGCGGGTTACGGATGTGAAGAGTTCATGCGGCCGGTTACGGAATCACTCCCCAGGCCGGTTACGGAATCACGCGAGGTAAGCCGCCCAAAAAGTGCCTTAGTAGTTCATCCTACTTCGCAAGCAAGTTCAAATCACACTTATGAGCGGGTTAATCCTACCTATAAGTGTGATTAACTACTATATAGCTGTGATTAACTATATTATGGTATCAGCTCTAAATATCAGCTCCTTATGGTATAAGCTCTAAATATCCATAATATACCAAAATATCCCCCCTTTTTGAAATCAGCTCTAAATAACGACATCATGACATCATGGGTCCTGTTGGGACTAAGCCAGGGGACAAGAAATTTTCCACATGTGCGTCTGACTCATCTGATATACCCTCTGGTTATGTCAAAATAGCTATTGAAAATGGCCAATTATAGTGGATTTTCCCATTAAAAATGGTGGATCTTTCCATAGCTATGTTAAATTACCAGAGGGTACATGTTTATCATTGTTTATCCATTTTTGCGGCTGGTAGTACAGTACGTCCCCTCTTTAATGCTCTGTCCGATCTCCGTCGCAGTCTCCATGTGTGAAATTTGAACGTAAATTTCAACCGTAGACCTTCCCTCTAACCAATCCATTGACCCATGGTTTTTCCGTGGTTTTTCTGTGGAACATCAACATAAATCAAGAATTTGTAGATGAATTTCTTCACAAACCACAGGTTTTACACATCTTTTTGTTCGTTTTCCCCAGGCTAAAAACCTCGATTTTTCCATGGTTTTGCCAGCCTTCAGGGATTTCACTCTGCCCTCCGCTGGCTACAGCAGAAGTCATTGGGCAAATGAACCACTCCTAGCCGATGCGGCAGATGGGTATCTCTATTCATCCCCAGCAAAATCCCCAGTAAAATTGGAGAACTGTCATTATTGATGTAGAAATGACCCTCCGGTGAACTACCATAGACCCTGGCAGATAGGGGTTGGAAGATTAGTTTCCACTAAAAATTTGTGATTTTCGGGGTCTATGTTAGTTTGCGAACTTGAAAATGGCCCATTGAGTTCGTTGATTTACCGAACTTAATAGCATGGCGATTTTCCAGTTCGCTGTGTTAATTTACCAGAGGGTACTTATGAAAAAAAAACACATATTTCCATATTTCCAATATTGTATCATGGATGGATAGTAAAACATATTGAAACTGGATAACTTAACTGACATATTACGAGTATATGGAAGGTCCCAGTCTATCCCAATATCGATATTTTTTGCATTGCCGTGATTATAGATGAAGCATGATGAAGCGAAATTCGTACCAATTTGGACTCGTCGGTGCAAAAATGCTTCTCACACTCGCTAAGACGCGATATCCGATTAAAAAATGGTTCAGTGACGAATATCCACAGAAAAAATAACCTCAGAGTAAATGTTTCTTCAATTTAAAGTTGTACAAATGTAGAATCTAACGAACAAACAACGCCATGTGCACCAAATCAGAAAATCTTCCACTTGCAAACGCAAATATTGTCTGCCAGGCAAACGATTGCCGGAGGGTAATATCAATGGGGACGCTGAAAAATATTCTCTGAAAAATTCTCTGAAAATAGATGGTTCCATATCCCATAGGATCCATGGTGCTGCTATATATGGTCACATTTACCCTCAATATATCCCCAATGTTAGCATATATACCAGCACCATGGATCCTATGGGTATGGCTCCCCAAAATCAAACTTATTTATAAGTTACCCTCTGGTAAACATACAAAAAGCTATTGAAAATGACCATAGAAATAGTGGATTTTCCCATTGAAAATTGTCATTTTCCATAGTTTTTTGTATGTTTACCAGAGGGTATGAGAAAGCTTTCACTTCTTGTGCTAGTGCCCATTGTATCACCTTGCTTTCTCGACAGATGCAGCCAGGGCACTGGCCTCAGAAACCTCGGCGAATGTCGCATCAAAAGGGACCCATTCAATCCATTTATGCATACCATCATGTTTGATGGGTAGGTAAATAGCTACCCTTTGGTAAACTAACAGTTTGCCATGGAAAATCACCATATCTATATGGATTGGATATATTTAATATATTTATGGATATATACCATCTGGTTATTTAACATAGCCATTGAAAATCACCATTTTTAAGCTCCGTAAACCATCTATTTCGATTAGGGCCATCTATATCAACCATGGCGAACTGTGAATGTCATAACCAGAGGGTACATACTATTGTATAGTCCATGGGTCCCATCATGTCCCATCCCCCGAATCATATTTGGATGGAATAGTGATCCATTCCAAATATTCCAAAATCTGTACATTTTTCATATGTTATATAATTATTGTCATCCTATCCCCCCTTCAAAATGGTTCCAATAAATAGTGGTTTCATCCCGCGAAAGCCTATGGACCTATGGATGCCTAAGGTTTCTGAGGGCTAATATGAACGAGGGAAGGGGATTACTACAATGTCATAACTCAAATAACTATGGTTTATGAATGTTTATGATACGCAAATAACTATAGTTAATGGGGTTTCTAAACCAACTTATAACTGGGGGGCCCCACATTGTACATTTACTTTGCAGATTTATGGGGGGCAGATGGGGGAAGTGCAATCAATGAATCAGACATTACGATACATCTAGCGACGACATCTCACCCGATAAGAGTTCAATGGGTCATGGCTCAAAATGAATCCTGGGTTCACAATCGAAATCAACAGCTGTGCCAACATCCAACAGATTTCCTCGATAAACATCACTTGCACGTCAATACATAAATGTGTGATATCCAATATCCTCTGTCAATCCCTGCCCATACTATCAAATACCACCTGGAAACTCACCTATTCAACTATTCTTCATTTTGGGAATATTGCGGGATATTGATAAAGCAATATTTTTCATACAAAACCGATCGCAAAAACAATGTACTAGTAACTTCTACGTCCTTTTCGAAAATCATTGTGGGGGCATTGAATGCAATTGGTTTACTTGAAATGGGATAGATACCCTCTGGTAAACTAACATAACTATGGAAAATCACCATTTTTAGTGGGTAAATCCACTATAAATGGTCATTTTCAATAGCTATGTTAAATTACCAGAGGGTAAATCGTGATGAATCCATTCCCCTGGCCGGCCCCGCGGCCAAGTAGCTCTTCCGCCTTCTTTTGAACCAAGGTCCGCTCTGCGGGGAGCTGTTGACCCTTGTGATTGCCTTGGGGTGCAACGGTGCAACCGTCTCCAGGCCAAGAACTTGCCCCAAGAAACGCTGCAATGCGAGCCAAACGCTACCAAAGTCTCAAAAACGGAGGAAAATCCATGAAAATCCTGGAAATATGCCCTACTGATGGCGGAACATGAGGTTGTTACTCTGCCAAGATGTATAAGAGAATTATAAGAGAGGGGGCTTTGCTGTTCGAAGATTGTAATCATGGTGATGAAACACGAAAGAAGCATGTAAGAGACCACCAGAGGGTGCTCGTACGTGCTCGTGTTCCTCCACAAGACAGTCACTCTTTTAGCCACGCCGATATATGGGGTGTGAATGGGTTTTAAAACAAATCAATTCCGTCATAATTTGACATGCTGCTTCTTTAAGATGGCGAATGCAAATTTAACTCGTGTGACATGGCTTGTGACTTGGCATCAGCCACTGGTTGGCAGGTGATTTCGGTTCTTTTAGATTCCTGTGCGACCCTAGTGGTGATGATTCCCTTCGCCCTGTACCATTGTATTGCTTGTTGCTGATGGTCTTGGAAGCCCAGGATAATTCTGTTGCATATAGGGGTAGAAACAATGTGCATATGCATTAACATATGTATATGAATGTGCTTGCACATATATACATACAATCACACACACAATATATATATATACACATTACGATAATATATGCATATGTGTGTATAGGGGAATTCCAAACCACCGTAACGGCCCAGTGGTGCTCAGCTGCAAATGGTACCCAAGATTTTCTGCCCCTCCAGTAGCGGATAGATGGGCAGGGTGGCTTCTCTTCGCGCCACACGGTCGCGCCTGGGCGCGCGACCGCTCTGGGCAAACGTCGACAGAAAAAAACATCCGCCGGTTAGGTCATAAATGGGGGTTTCCATAAATGGTGGTACCCCAAAATGGAATGGACAAATCCTACTAAAATGGATGATAACCGGGGTACCCCCATAACTTAGGCAACCCCCATATATCCCTATATGATCCTATCTATGGCAAAAGATTGAAGTGTCAAAGCAGTTTTGGGGAGCCAGGGCCTCAGGCTCCTGACTTGGATCAGTTTGACTCGTTCCAAACCCTGTGAATATTGACCCCTGACCGACGATCCTTCAAGCTGGTTATCTGATGCTCGAGAAGCTGGGGGAGACAATGAAGAAATGGGAGACACTGATACGTAGCCATCTACGATGGACAATGAACCCTTGGATTTGCTTAAGGGGTCCCCAAAAAATAACACATATTCACTATAGATTCCCCAGTCATGGTGGATTGTCCATTGGGAAAATAAGCCAAATCACCGACTAAACAAACCCAGGAGAATAGGAAACACACTAAAAGTAAGTCCACATAGTAAGTCTAACTATGTCTAATTCATATAAAATATGGAAAGTCACTCAAATTCCATGGTTCCAAACCACCAACCAGATAGTAACTTACCACCCTTCGACCCTTCGTCATCGCCCCATCGCCATGTCACACAGCGAGGCTGCGATAGCACGTGGAGATGACAGGTGTGGGCACATTCTTCGCTTCGCCAAGGCGGTGAACTGAACCTAACCTTGGTCGTTTCAACATGTTCAACCCAAAAATGGACCAGTTGAAGAAGTTGAAGCATGAAAAATTCTGGTTCAACCAGGTTTTTGACCATCAAACATTGGCCTTTTAAATGGTTTAGTCAGCTTTGACCATCAACCATGGGGGATCAGGGGGATTATTCAGCATCCTTCAGCCGTCATAGTGATTCTTGAAGATCGACTTCGAGTGGAATATGCGGCAAGCGTGCTTACCCTCTGGTAAACGTTTACATAACTATGGAAAGATCCACCATTTTCTAGCTGGGTAAATCAACTATTTCTATGGCCATTTCCAATAGCAAACCGTTAAATTACCAGAGGGTACTCCCCAAGCCAACAATCCAGCCGTGTGTTCCGATCCATCCAGTAACTGGAAGTTCTACAGTGAGGTTGACCTGTTGTTGATGGATACTTGAGCAAGCGAAATTATATTCCAAGGATGAACTAGAAGAGCCAATGTGATAGTTGTTCTTTTAATTGATGAATCATTCTATGTATGTGTGTGTGATCAAATGTACACACACATACATATATATATACATACACACACACATATATATATATATATATGCATACATTTTTTACATATACATATATATATATATACATATATATATATATGTACATATATATATACATATAATTATACATATAATATATATATATACGCATTATGTATGTACGAATTAATTCGGAGCATTGACTCATCTTTTGAGCGCCTCGTACCCAGAGGGATCCGTTGGTAATGTGGCAAGCGTGCGCAATGCGTTCCAGGAACCACTTCGAATTGGGACCACCCTCTGTCATTTGGAAACCAGCTTGAAACACTTAAAAAAAAGATAGCTACGCACGTATAAAGGTTCAACTCATATTACAGGGGTAGGTTTCAATTCACCTTGCCAAAGCATTTTGAAACATTTTGAAACAATGGGGTCTCAAGCTGGAACCTCTTGCGCCGAGAAACAAGTCATCCAGTTCGCTATGCCTGCATATGTCCACGAATAGGGCTAGTTTTGGGGTCAGAATCCACCGGAAACCCTTCGATTTTTGAGCAGCCAAGTGGTGTTGTCTGAGACTCAGCTCAACCCCCAACAACTGCCATCTAAACGTGGAAAGAATGTTTAGAAGTTTCCCTAAGTCATTGGGCTACTCCCAGTCATCATCCATGGTGACTTGGGGATCCCTCATGGACATACACGCTGGGTGAACAGGGCATTCATCCAAAGCTCAACGAACTGGACGTTTCATCATCAACCCCCGATGAAAACATCTTATATATATACTTGCCATCAACTACCAAAAAATCATGATACTGGTTGGTGGTATACCTACCCCTGTGAAAAATGATGGAGTTCGTCAGTTGGGATGATGACATTCCCAACTGAATGGAAAGTCATTAAAAATTCCATGGTTCCAGTCGCCACCAACCAGATTTTATTATTGACACCTATGCTTCATTTTAGGACACCTCCTAATATTGGATATGTCATCATATGTCATCATATGTCATCATATGTCATCATCCCAAAGATAGTGAAAATTGTGTGGTTGTGTCATCATATTGGTTATGTCATCATATTGGATATGTAATCCTATGTCATCATCATATTGGATATGTCATCATCCCAATTAAGTTGTTCTGGTAAAATTTAATGGGAAAATTCACTATAAATGGCCATTTTCAATAGCTATGTTAGTTTACCAGAGGGTAGTGAAAAAAATGTGGTTCTGGTTGTTCTGGTTGTTCCTCTTGTTGCTCCGTCGCCTCCCAGCCCAAAGATCTCGTGAGCAGCTGGTGGTCGCGCCAAGAGCTTCGGCCAAGATGGGAATTCCTCGGCCATGGGCCCATGGGGATCCACCAGGGCCAAGTCTGGAGAACCTGGGATTCACCAGTTGATAGGTGGTAAACATCCCGTTATTTATATGGTTTCAACATGTTTCAACATGTTTCAACCATCCCCCATTGATGCAGGATTTCGCAAGCATTTAACCATCCACAGTGTGATTTCAATGATTTGATCTTAAACTCTCTCAGTGATTTCTGTTTTCGGAGATGAGAACCCTCCGTAATTTTGAGCTTGGACGTCGTTGATCTGCAAGAAATACTCAATAATTCCCCGATGAAATTGAAAGTAATCAGTAATAGTGACAAAGTATCACCGGGGGAAAAAACAGTTCCTTTTTTAAGGGCAAAAATGAGTAGGCATTCATTTGATGGGCTGGAAACTCAACGCTTGGGTCGACCGGCCATGAAAAGCATCAAATTGTATAAGATTGCGACCGCACCGGCTATTCCAAGGTTTTTTTTTTTTGGGGGGGGGGTAATTACATTGAATAAAAAATGCGAATAGAAGTAGAACTTAATTGAGATCAATATCATCAATTAACCAATAGACAATACATATGGGAGATCGTACGTATGTGCACTTTTCTAAGGTTTCTGCCTTGGTCTGGCCCTAGAATCTCGAGCCAACCATCTTGCTGCTGGGTGACGCTTGTCAATCCACTCCTCCTTGTAATTCACGCCATGCGCACGAGCCTCGAACGTGGTCGATGAAATGGTAAGGCATCTGCCCTCCACTAACCTAGCCATACCTAGCCTTATATCAGGTAACAGGATCACTTTGGAACACAGCCATTCTTACCTCACTTTGGAACCAAAGCGAGGACCCAACCCTTATATCATCCCCTCTGAAAAATGATGGAGTTCGTCCGGTGGGATCATTCTTCCCATATGGTTCCAGTCACTTACAGTCAAATTCCATGGTTCCAGTCACCACCAACCAGGTTCCGAACTTACCACCCACCAGAACCCTTCGCTCCACACGGAGCATACCGAGCCGCCACGGCCATGATTTCCCTCATGGCGGAGCGCCACATCTGTTCCAACTCCGGGACCTGAAGGAACCCATGACCGACCCAAAAGGAGGGCGTTTTCGTGTTGGAAGGGGATGAGGTCACCAAGAAAAATGGATATAATATGCGGTGAATGACATGTAGTGGTTTAATTGGGTTTAACATGGTTTAACAGTTTAACATATGATCATATGTGGTTTTGTATATTGGTTGAAAAGTGTTTAACGCTGGGCAATATATCTCTCCGCCTCGCCCTTGTTGGTTTGTATTGGTTTTCCAGGATGTAGCATGGAAATGGAATTACATGTAGCTTATGGAATCTTACAGTAATTATCACTGGCCATCTCAGGAACCTAAATTGGAGGTACCTACCATAAGGCCTATGTTTCAGGGCTATGTAATGCCTATATCCCCACAAAATATGGCCAACAATCCCGTAAAAAAAACAGTGAGATTGGGTACAGGATGTTGCATCGGCGTTTCATGGCACAGGTGAGCCATGAAAAGCATCGTAACAGGTCTCCACCATGGGGGTAGAAAATCTCAACATACTACCCCGACGGTGAACAATGACATGCAATATTCTTAATTTCTGGTCGTAGAAACAAACGGCCAAAGAGACTGTGGATAAATTTCTGATATATATATATATATATGCATAATTGCAATATATATATATGTATATATATATATATGTGTGTGTATATATATATTCATCATAAATTAAAGTAATTGAGACATAGAAACTCTGACTGGCACCCCTTTGCATAGATCCACAGAGATGAAGAAAGATATAACTGCACATATATATATACCCTCTGGTGAACTAACATAGCAATTGAAAATGGCCATTTATAGTGGAATTTCCCATTAAAAATGGTGATTTTCCATTGCTATGTTTGTTCACCAGAGGGTATATATTATGATATATTATGTATATAATATATATATATATATATTATGATATATTATGTATATAATACATCCCACAACCGGGTCACATCTTCCCTATTCTTCCCTCACCTTGGGAATCAAGTCCTGCGTGGCGCTGGGTCCCGCTGTCGCTTGCACCGCGGTGGTAGAGCAGATGAAGGAGAACTTTTCCTCGGCGCTGTGCAAAAAACGATGCTCAATGGCAGAGTCAGTGCGATGGGGAAAAAAAAAAGTGGGAAAATCTGCTAGAAACCCATAGGGACCCATAGAAACCCATCATGTTGTACATGAGTCATGTGAAAAGCCTCCATCGTTCATAATTATACTGCTTGGATAAGAACGGATTCTCAGTTCATGGAGTTCTAATATACCAGTACCCAATGTGTAAATATATGTTAAGGGTATATCGGTAAATAACCCTAACCACCAATCAATCCACAAATCGTCCGGAAGTGCTGGGGGGAGGTGCTGTAGATGTTCACCTCTACTGATGTTGTCTTTACCAGAAAATAAGGGATTCCCCGTGGCTTTTGCATATAGTTTTCCCTCAAAACCATCAACCCATTCGAGGACTAAGATGAGTGATTTCACTGGCATTTTAGTGATTTGCAAAAAGAACTGGTACCAGTGACTAGTGCAAGAAGTTGCATGAAGACCTGCAATGCATAGAACAGACTCCACACATAGTATTCATAGGTTCAACAGCAGTGGGGGGGTTATGAGGCCAGAATCGATTGAAATTCTGGCCATGATCCAACAGGATCTAAGGCATCTCGCCAGAGGTTCAGAATTTTTCAGCAATCACAATGGGTTTTCACATGTTTTCACACCTCCACTTCAGTCAAACCAACGGATCTTGGCCATGTAAAAAATCCTACTCATCAAACTATCCCAGCGGGGATTCCCAAGGCTATGAGCCACACTGCAGCACTTCAAGGCATCCCAAACAGCAACAGACACCCCTGAAAAGCCACTGGTTCCCAGATACCAAAACCCCCAAACAAGTACCATAAATATTCCAAAAATACCAAAAAGTTAGAGCTATAAAATTCCACTAAGGATTTCTGATTTGATGGTTGTATCTCTTTTTGGAGCTCTACGGCTCGTTGATCCCAGGCACCCAACATGCGCACAGGGCATCTTGTTCCAGGTGAACTGAGAGCATGGGGCATTCGAAGCTGGAACTGGATGGCTTGGTGTGGCGAACTGAAACATTCGGAATTGGTGGTGGTTGATCTTCTGATTTCGAAATAGAGATCGAAGTATATCTACTTGGACATATTTGGTGGTAAAGAGTTCAGGACCATGGCTATGAATCTTGAATAGGAAGTAGTGTCAGGCCATCTATATTTCAGGTAAGGATAAATCACCAAGTAGCCTCCAGTAATTCATCGCAATGGAAAACCGTGGGGGCTATGGATGAAGGTCCTGCCAAGAATATAATAGGATAGAATGGGGCAATTATCCCCATCACCGTGTTTGATGTGCGGAGGCTACAGCATCTGGATCCCAAGTACTAGTACTGGGTATGCCCATTGGATGTGGCAATAGTTTGGTTCAAACTGATCAAGACCAACTTCCATTGTCCCGATTTCAAAATGAATTAAAACATCTTCAAGTAAGAATGACCCATCTGTGGTTCCCAAAGATGGGTAACTGGGAACCTTTTACATACACCTGTGGGACTTTTCGAGACAACCCTGGCAGTTGCGCCTGCCACCCCGTCGCACTTCGAGAAAATGGTTTCCAGTTGTTTGGTCTTTGCCGTGGCTTCCCCCTGCCAGGGTTGAGGGCAGTAGCGAAGTCTGCGATGGGAACACGGCCCCGATCATTGCCGGCCCTAAAAATTCCGGAGATATTGGTTCCAAAATTCAAGGTAGTAAAAACAAGAGCAGAAGAAATCCTGCCAGCTCCTAGGTGGAATCCAAGCCCTGAAAAACTCCACCCCCAGCGCCAAATCTGTGAGACCTCGAACTCTCCAAAGTAGACCGCAGGCGGATTGGCTGCCCAATGTTTGATCAAGCCAGGCTCCTGATCCGGGAACCCAATGCAAAAACATCCGAAAAACTGTTATTGTATGTTGTCTAATGGAAAAATGGTTTGGGATGTTTGGGGGCACCGTGGAGAACCCTATTTTTTGGAAACTCTCAAATATTAGGACATGGTAGGTTTGTTTTTTTGGCTATGAGAACCTGGCACCTGCAAAGTTGGATGGGTGTTCCTCATGTTGGTTGCGTAATGTTGCGTAGGCAGCTTCATGGTTACATCAAGCCATCTCAACGGCAAGCGGATTCTCATCATCTCGATCATCCCGACCCAGCCTCGAAACTCATGTTTTCTCACCATGTTGGCTCAAGATTAGCAATGCCCTTTGGTAGTTTCAACATGGGCATTGAAAATAAACATGTGTTACTGTTAAAGGTATATAAATCATCTATAAGTGGACCATGTTCCATGGCTAATTATGTTAGATTAGCAAAGGTTACTTGTTGGTCAACCCACCCCAAGGTGGTTCCCCATGGTCGGCTAAGTCGGAATTAGATGAACTACAGTATAGGTTTCATGGTGATGAAATAACCATAGTTTTTCGGGGTTGTAAACCAACAAACAGAACCCTTGGAGGCACCACCTTCCCATAATTTTCCCAAGAATTGTCATATTTTCCCATATGTTTCCCATAATATGTCCCTTTCTAACCGCATGAAATCACCATGTTTCATGCTTAACTTTCCACCCCAGGCCTTGAACCCTTAACCGCCTTAACCCCACCTGGATGGCTGCCACGATGTTGCACCAGCCCACCAGCGGATGGCCCCTGCCCCAGCCGCTGACCATTTGCCGCACCTTTCCGGCGCCGTCCACGCCGTTCTGCAGGGGAAGCACCTGGGTCATGGCAATGGCCATGGCAATGGCCCACAGGATCCCACAGGGACACCAGCCTTAGGCCATCAATGGATTTAAGTTTCTGCAACTTGTTTCGTTCAACCCCGAGTGGTCTAGCTGGGGTTTTTGCTGTCGCTCCAAATCTCAGTGAGCACTGCCGGACATCAGCCCGATGCCAGAGAGAACATCAGATAGAATGCCAGAAAGAATGTCAGAATGAATGCCTGAAAAGATGCCAGATAGAATGTCAGAATAGATACCAGATACACGAATGCCAGAAAGAAGGTCAGAATAGATGCCAAATAGAATGCCAGAAAGAATGTCAGAGAGAATGTCAGATAGAATGTCAAAGTATATGCCAGAAAGAATGTCAGATAGTCATAGAATGTCAGAATAAATATGCCATATATATTTCCAGATGGTATGTCAGAAACTATGCCGGAATAGTGTTTCATCGTTTTTTCCAGGATAGTACAGGAGATCCAGGGCGGGGTTTGATATACGTTGGAGATCTTTGGAGTTGATCGTCAAACTTGCTAAATATCAACCCGGGGTACCATTTGGTTCTTTACATAACATACATAACATACTGTAGCAATGGGAACTGGCCCATTTCTAGATGATTTACCTCGCCTGTATTATAATGATTTACCTATTTAAAATCGTTGTATATTTTCCATGTCAGTTCACTAGCAGCAAAGCATGAGACATCGGCAACCCTTCATTAGTCACGTGGGGTACGGTGGGGGGTCATATCCCCTTCCGCTTTCACTTCGCTCCAAGGCACCAGTGTGTTCTTTCCACACCATGGGGCGCACATACCCAGGCAACGTTCAACTTCCCAGGCCTTGCAGCCCAGGACGATCACGTCAGCTTCAAATTTGCTTTCTTTGTCAAGTGCTTCCGTGTTCATCACCTGCCGATCATGGCGAGGTTTGATCATGTTTGATCATGTTTGATCATGTTTGATCATCAATGGTTGTAGAATGAGAATTGGAAGCCATTGGCAGGTTAGACTCCGAAAAACTATGGTGATACTTCCGTCTGGCGCATTGATCTGGGCAAACAAATCACGAATCCTGAAGTGGAAACGTTGATATTTTTGCGGATGATCCACTGTCCTGAGCATCATTTGAGGTGAGGTTACTTTGAGGTCGCCACACTTTACCCAAAAATTGAATTCCAAGGGATTCAAAGGCATGTGTATATATATATATATAGATACATATGGACAGAGAGAGAGGGAGAGAGAGAGAGAGAGAGACTTCCCAAATGCATCCGATTCCGGGCCCCCTGTGTCCTATCATGGGGGGTTGACAACGGTCAGTGTTTACCTTTATCCAACCCTTATCTCGGCGCCCCACAAGGTGATCATCACTGACCAGCATGAAAGCATTACTCCCACATAGCCTCTGGTAAACGTTTACATAACTATGGAAAGATCCACCATTTTTAATGGGAAAATCCACTATTTCTATATTTCTATGGCCATTTTCAATAGCAAACTGTTAAATTACCAGAGGACATCTCATTTTTTCATATTTTTTCCATAGGTGTATCATGTTCGGATTGTATCAGATTATATCCATAGCTGTTTGGGGGATACACCCCAATTTTGGGACACAGCCAGGTCCGACCTGATCCAGCTTGGCTCGAGGGATGTGAACGTCGCCGCAGATGCTTTTCACCTAAGCAACGCCCCAACGACCTGCCACGACCTGGGGGTAGGATAGCTGCTATTCATAGGATAAACCAAGAACTACCTGTTAATTAGTGGGGGAAACACCTATTTTATCATATTTTATCCTATTTTTATATGGAACCAGATGGGAAAACCCAATGCGTCCGTCCTTCCACATATGTTTATATATTTGTTGTGGAAGGACCTGAGCATATCGAGAAAACAACCTGGGGTTTGACATGGTGGACCCCTCGGAGAGATATGAATCTCTCTGGGATGATTGCTGTTTTTTGGCCACAGGATTGGCTCAAAAATGATAGGAGCCATTTTAGGATGTCCAAAGAGGAAAATCTTCTAATGTCAACCCCGGATTTTGCTAAACCATGGTTTATGAATTAGGGGGTATTCCCCCAATAGTCATTTCATCTGATACTTAAATGGTACCCTTCCAATTAAACATCTTGGAGGTGGATTCCCAGCATCCAGTCGCCAAGATTCTTTCACGCCCTCAGATTTCAAAACTCTCAAGGTGTCTTTTCTAACCTGGGAGGAAAGCATGCGAAAGCATGCGATTTCGCCTGCGAAAACTGGCACGAAGCTCTAGATACTATTTACCGTACCTACGCATGAATATAATGAATATATGCACACTTATATAATTGTGATTAATTATGTACATTGTACGCAAGCAATTGCTTGCGTGCAAGTACACACATATCTTTATATATATACACATATAAACATGCACACACGGGCGCAACTTCGCTTGCACACACGTACATGTACATGAACATATTCTAATAGCACATATATGTACATCATATATATAATGTGTGTGTGTCCTGGCATGCACTGGGCACATTTGCATTTACAATAATTATTATTGATACACATATTTCTATATATTTCTTGGTTAATCTATTGATCTATCCATTACTGCACCTCAGCAGTTCGCAGTAATACCTTGCCACCAATCGCAGCCTCTTTCATACAGGGATTCCGCATGAATAACCGACACGGCACACGGACCGCAGCAACACTCAACAACGTGAAAAACGAATAAACTGAATAAACATGAATTATTTAAGCCTCATATGTCCAGCCAGGCTGAACAAAAACACGGCATTCGAGATGGATTCTCTGGTGCTTCCCCAGTGCATTTGATGCTTGTCCTTTCAAGATATGCCGAGACCACTGATGAAACCACGGATGTGGACTTAAACAAGCCAGGCGTCCATAAAGCTTACCTTCTCTCCTTTCCTGAATGGGAGCAGCCCTCCCAACATCTCCCAACAAAAAGGGTCAAAAAAACGGGAGCTATCTCTAGTTTAACCAACTGAAAAGGCTTTACCACCCAGTTTTTTGTTGAAAATGCGCTTTTGGTCATACATCATAATGCCAGATGGGTTCTGATCATCGTTCTCTTGATATGCCCATGCCGCCAAATATGGTAATGACCTCACTTTGTCTTGGGATTTGCAAATCAGGCAGTCTTCCCAATACCCATTTCTGGCGGCTTATTGAACTAGTGAGAAAATCAACTGCAATCCCGGGCATTTCTATACGTTCCATCTCGGTTTACCTGAACCCGTGTCAAACCTCGAGCCTAGAATTATAGAAAATTGTATCGTTGGTTTCTATTAATTAATTCTTGAGAATAAAACATCTTCCAGTTCCATATCTTACATTAGATTCATCTATATATATATAGTTGTGCATGTTCCATGCACGGCCCTACCCGGAAAATGATATTGTCAAAAGTCAAAACATGCTATTGCCAAGGTGTTTTGCTTTGAAACATCGGTACTGGAGAAAGAGCTCTTACACAGTCTACCCCAAATCCGCCTTTGAATCCGCTTTGTATTCTTCAAAATCACATTCCCACATAACTCACATCACCGTGAGTTATTGACTGCGGGCAATGCACCAAACCTTGACCCTCTAAGCTAGTTAGATCCCAAATCAGCACCGTAGCATTACAGTCATCACCAGGTGCAAGTCCACCAAGTCCACCGGGACACCATTTGGTGATGGAAATCCCCATAGCTTGGTGAGTTCCCATTGCTTTTTATCATGGTAAATCATGTTGAAGATAGATGTTCCATTGATTTATAAGGATTAAAATCCTAGTAAAACTCCATAAAACTCCATAAATCATCATAAATCATCATAAATCAATTGCAAAATCCATCCATGTCCAGATCTTCAACCACCGGTCTCTCTCTTGACCAGCCACTCGGCCAGGCGTGCACCGAAGTAGCCACCCACCGCACCGCAGCCGAAGAAGAGCCATCGCAATGGACCTGGGGCACGCCCAGTCCAACGCAGTGAATCATCCCAGGTATCCTCCGGTTGTTTTTTGGCTCAGTTTAACATGGAATCCATGGTTCATTTACTGTAGTTCGATGATTTATTTATTGTTTCAAGGATGTGTTTCGAGTTCGCGAAGTGTTGAATGAACTAGAAAGATGGTAAGTGCTTAATAGCCATGCTTATACTTATCCCCCATTTTTTGGCAGCACACAATACTATACCCCATTTATGTGTGGGACGACTCACTTTGGGGACTTACTAGCCACAGATACTAATCAGTTCCTAAGAGGGATGATTCTTCAAATATCTATGTCTCATTCTCTCTCTCTCTCTCGCTCCATGATGCCAGCTATAGCCTTTGCTTCTTGGCACCCCCGAAGCCATATATATATATGTAACATATATACATATAACATATATACATACAAATAGAAGTGAGGGGAAAATCAGGAAACCATAAGGTCATAATACACGGTGATTATCTAGCTTCCTCGAGAACATGGAATTTTTCTAGGAGACGATGCTCGAAGATAGAAAAATAGCTATATACTACCACATTAGGAGTCTTCAACCGGCACAATCGGTTTAACCACATAACACCCCTTAGAATTGGTGTCACAGTTGCACATGCTGATTCTACGACCAGAAATTACAGCAAGTTGAGTTTCTACCATCAGAAATGGGAATCAATCCACCAACAACTGTCAAATCTTGAATGCTTCAGAGGAATACCATCCGTATTTGGATCAACAAATGTGTAAATTTGCATCACTTGAATCATTCATATGTGCATAGTTCTCAACATCAATTCAACAGAAGTAAGAAACAGAAGTAGATATTAGCGTATGTTTCCCTGATGCCGCGTGGATGATCCCAAAGCCTTAACCCTCCGGTGTCATCAAACACGGCGTGCTGGAAAATACACTATTTATAGAATTTACAGGTGATTTTCCTTTTTTTTGACCCCCATTTCTAGTGGATTTCCAATTGCCACGTTTGATTACCGGAGGGTAATCATCATGTGTCATCATTCCCACTTTTTTAATGGCCATGTCGAGTCCCGACATGGATGGCCTTCCATTTGGCCGGCACCGGCGCACAGGGCGACGCGTTGTCGCCGTTGTTTGGGCGAGCCAGGCTCAGCTTTTGAACGAAGGAAGCGGTTTAGAACCCATTCATTTCAATTGGGATATTCCACATACAACTATATACAACTGATATATATATATATATATCTCTCTCTCTCATATATCATATATTAGATAATTAAAAATTATAACATATCCGTTTATTTTCTCATCTACGGTTCTGACTGATGACATTCAATCTCAATGTTCAATCTGCGCATTCGTCGATTCCCGAAGCCTCCTGCTTCTTGGGGGATGAATGAATCACACCTCTGCAACAAACACTCCTTTTCATCCAGAAAGAAAACTGCACCATCAAGTTCCCCAAATTTCCCAATGAAGAAATCTGAAGAATTCATAACATAACTATGTGTATATATATATCCTAACCCTGCTTTGTGCAGCATTGGCAATTGAAAAGCCTGTCAGATCCTGTCAGAATAGAGGAAATCCGTCAGGAGCCTTCAATTATATCCCTGGCTCATTTTTTTTTTGTCAATGGCATAGGCAACCAACTGGAGGACAAGCAGAGAAAAAAAACTCCGCTAAGCCGAGCTTTTGGGTGAGGAGATGGTGCATCTTTTCAGTCTCCTCTGCAATTTGAAGTGCAGCTTCCAGGACCAGAAGATACCAGAAGTAGAAGAAGTAAAATCAGGAGTCAGAACTTGCACTGCTAAACCGTCATGCTGAGAACTTCTTACACGTTGCCAGGCACGCTGATCTTATACACGTAGCCATTGATGGGGACAACTGGTACGCTGGTATCGAAGCAAGAAGCCTTGCCAAGAAACCACGAATGGGGGTACCGTAAGCCAAAAGCGATGTAGGAAACGTCTTACACTTCCTGGTGCTCAACGGTGTCAACATCTCAGCTAGGTCCACCGGCAAGAGGTCGTTGTTTATAGCAAACGGAGCGCGAAGCAAACGAAAGACATCGAAGGACCAAAGGAAGGCAAATTCGAAAGTATAAAATCTCTATATATGAAATTGTTTGTGGATGTTTGTGGTATCTTGTGGTTAATTGGCGTTGCATTTAAAAATGCTCTGACGCCAGGGCCGCCAGGGCCGCCAGGGCCGTGGTCCGTTGCGATGGGCTAATCCAGAGCATTTGTTGACCGGATCATCCCAATATCGATCGTAACCCCCAAGGTATGGTTTTTGCATCACCCTGAACTGGAAAGTCACGGACGCAACCAACACAATCATATTAAGGTCATAATTATACCTTACATTCCATCTTATGTATATACTCTATTATATATATATATATATTTATTTATATATACTATATATATAGATAGATAGTATATATATAGATAGTATAGTATTGTATTGTTACATTAACCTTACATTATAGTATATACAATATATCAAATATCGCCCAAATTGTATCCCCATTTGTCTCTCATTGCTGGTTTTCACAATGGGTGCTGCACCCCGTCTCTGCTGAGTCCGCCCTTTTTTCGCCCAGAATGGCTGAAGCCACGCAGGCGGCGATTTCACTGGCACCTCGGGCGTCTGAAGCCACCGTGAGGCCATGGCAACGATCAAATCGATGAGTTTTTTAGAGTACCCTCTGGTAATTTAACATAACTATGGAAAATCACCATGTTTTTTAGGAAAATCCACTATAAATGGCCATTTTCAATAGCTATGTTAAATTACCAGAGGGTAAAGTACCTTTGCCATGCAAAACCCATCAAAATTGTCAAAAGTCATGTTCAGATTTGAAAACCATGGGTTTTCCTACGCAAAAACGTCTTTTTTCCTCAGCGCGATGAATGTTGCAATGTCTGCTTTGGGGGCAGTTAAAATTCTTCCACGCCGGAGCATGGATTCCTATGGCCAGGAAAGCTAGGAAACAGCAGGCCATGGCATGAAGTAATTACTCCTATTCTGGTCTAATTGAAAACCCCATTCGGGTTGCTCCCAACATCCCAGATACAAGGGCTGACACTGGCCAAAAGGCTAAAAGATCTATATAAATGACCAGCCAATATCCAGTTGTCACCCAAAAAGTGGCTCTCATTTACCTATCGCTTGGAGCAACCCTGATTATCCTGATTTGTGGCCAATGACCCCCCGACCGTTGGTTATAAAGTCCCACTATATCCCCATTAATTTCCCGTTCAATGGGCTTTCAGAAAATCTGGTGTTGAATGGTGACATAAACCCGTCCACTCATAGGAAAACCACCCCCAGAGTGACCATGGGTGCTTCTCGGGGATGAACGCACGACTAAAAACCGTAGAATGGAGTATTTACTATGAGGGGATGGGATTAACTTCACCCCAAAGCTTCAGCAGAATCTTCTGATTCTTGGGTTTTATATTCATCCGTAATCACTTGGCGTTTCAGAAAATCTGGGACATGACCGAACTCCACCCCAGATTTCTCAGCCGAAATCCCAGCTTTTCTTGGCCAAAGCCACCTTTTTCCGAGAGGTGCACCAGGTCCGCCTTGTAGCCTCTGGCATCGCTGAGGCTCGGTGGAAGCTCCAGCAAAATGCTCGAAGCCATGGAGCGCCTAGGCACATCTAGGCACCGCCCTCTCCGTGTGGCAAGGGGTTGAAGTTCAGAAGACGAAAATCCGAAACAAAACGCACCACCACCACCACCACCAACAACAACAACAACAACAATCCATCCGTTCGTCCATCCATCCATTCATCCATTCATCCATTCATCCGCCCGTCACACGGCCGAGCCACACGCGCTGCCGCAGCTGCGGGTGCACGTGCTGCGTCAAGTTGTCGCTCAATCGTCCAGCCTTGACCTTAGGAATCCAGGAATCCAACGAACCTCCGCGGGATGACCCTCCAAGTGTGTTGTGGATCTATGTGGATCTATGTGGATCTATTCATCAATTGGGGTCCCAAACATTGATGCTATTTGCTATATTTCAATGTTGGGAGGATAAGAAACCCACATGTCCAAGAAAAACATCACAATGGACGGATGATCTACACTGTTAATCTACACTTCTGGGGATTTCGCGTTGCCGATTGCCAGGTGAGATCCGCAAATAAGGCGTGAGTTGACCAGCTGTTTAAGTTGGGCTGTCCAGAGAATCTCAAATGTTCATGATTGCAGGGAGTTTTTTTGGCAGAAATCAATGAAGTGATTTAAGGGAAGCACTCCACAAAACCCACAAGTTGTTACCATCAACCAATTGAAAGCTAGACTAAAACCTGTCTAATGCTCGTTTCATTGATTCAGGCAAGGAACACATGAGGAAATTGAAGGAGAGGAGACATGTTCTGATGGAAATGGTTACAGTATGGTTTTGTCATCGTCTTTCAATGGGACATGTCCTGATCATGGCACGGTCCTGGGGCATGGTGAGCTACGCCTTATGTTCCCATAAAAATTGGTGAGTTCAATTTATATCAAAAATAGTTTATTTTTGTGAATAATTTGCTAGTAGCTGACCAGTCAGGTGACAAATTTGCTAGACACTATCTGCCCTCTGGTTATTTAAGATAGCTAATGGAAATCACCATTTTTAATAGGTAAATCAACTATTTCTATGGGCCATCTATACCATAGCTTTTTGTATGTTTACCAGGCCGGGTACTGTCTCTGGTGCCAAGAGACGCCAGGGGGTTGGACAATCACCACGCTTTTCGCGACGCCGTGTCGCCTCAGTTTTTTCATCGCGACACGGGGGTTGAAACAGTGGCATGAAAAAACCACCCATTTTCCTGGGAATGGTAACCATAGCACCTATATACAATGGTGATGACTGGGGGTTGGTTTATATGGCTATGGATCAATACCTATACATACCATTTTTAGGGGGATGAACATCCATTTACCAGCTATTTTGATGTGAACTACAGGGGTACAAGGTTTTGACACACTGCCATATGGTAATGGCATTGGAAATTATCCACATGAATGGGAAGCTTTTAACAGGCTTGATGATATTTGCGCGCAACGACGCGCCTTCGCAGATCAGCCACCAGAGATGCTATGGCCTCAGGCCGTCATCAAGGTAGATAGATCGATAGATCTATAGACAGACGGACGGACCGACTGTCATTTCCTTACGTAAATATGTGTGCATATAATATATATATATAATATATATATATATATAATCATTATATATATAATCATTATATATATAATGATTATATATATATATAATCATTATATATATATATATATTATCATTACATATCTGTGTTTGTGTTTGTGTGTCTGTGTCTGTGTCATCATGGTTTGCTGGCGGTATCGGGATCAGTTTGTCATCCCAATAAAGGCGGCTTCGAGCACGAGAGTGACAAGGATAAGAAGTTCAAGGCATTTAAAATCACCATTAAAACTCAAACAAACAAAGCTAGACTGAGAACTTCCAACTTCAAGAAAAGATTCTCAGGAGCCAAATTGTGTGTATCCCCCCCTGTTTATGTATATCAAGCTACCCTTCACCATTCGGCTTATCCACCCCCTTCATGATCTTCATGGCTACGGCTCCGTTCCCCCATTTGCTGCAGATAGCTAAAGGTATACTCATCAACTATTACCCTCTGGTAAACTAACATATAATAACTATGGAAAATCACAATTTTTAATGGGAAAATCAACTATAAATGGCCATTTTCAATAGCCATGTTAGTTTACCAGAGGGTATCACACCAAGGTTTACTCTTTTTTTGCTCGATAAAAACCATGATAAAACGTGATAAATGACCATGATTTGAAAATGAACGAAAAATCAGCTTTACCCAGACCCTTCCGGACCCTTCCGGACCCTTCCGGACCCTTCCGGACCCTTCCGGACCCTTCCGGACCCTTCCGGACCCTTCCGGACCCTTCCGGACCCTTCCGGACCCTTCCGGACCCTTCCGGACCCTTCCGGACCCTTCCGGACCCTTCCGGACCCTTCCGGACCGGTGTTTGGGCGAAGCCTCGGCCACTTTCTTCGGCTCACCGTTGCGATGCCATGCATCGTTCGTGCCCAGCATCACCTCAGTACCGCCATGGCAATGTATGCCATGGATCTTGGTCGACTGCTGAGGTTTTCCAATGTTTTCATGTGGCTTTACCATGGTTTTTAGCATGGCAAAGCCAATAATAAACTATAATAAACTCATAGACTTCAAATTTTGATCAAGTTTCGAGGGGTTCCACCCATTTCTGATGGAATTGGGAGGTTTGTTCTTTATTACCAGAGGAACATCCAAGGAGTTTCTCACCCAGTTACCCCCCAAAAAAAAAAAACGGGCTACTTCCATGGCCCTTCCATGCCCTTCCCAAGTAGTGACCAGGCACCACATGGACATGCGCTTGGAAGTCAGTTGCAGCCGTATAGCGCGTTTGTTCCATGTAGCCTGACTGCAGGGCCAGGCCAGCCATACTTCGATGATTTTCCCAGCAACTGACTTCGGGCATTTCCCGGCTCACGTTGGATTTTCGCCACTTCGGGTAGATGAAATAGATGATAATAGATGTACCAAAGTTGTACTTCAAAAGGCGTGCCTGGCAAAATCGAAAGTGAAAACCCCATCCCTATACCCTCTGGTAAGCTAACATAACTGATGGGAAAATCACCATTTTTTAATGGGAAAACTCACTATTTCTATGGCCATTTTCAATAGCTATGTTAGTTTACCAGAGGGTACCAATGACATCTGACTTTCCTAGATCTCCCATCGCTTGGTAGGACATCCCAGGCGCATTTCTTGCCCGGCGTCTTGGCCGCCACCGCTCCTGGAGAGAAAACATACAACTTGGGTTAGTAACTCAAACAATGGGAGGGTTTTTTCAGGCAAAACTAAAATAGAATCAAGAACGTGTATAATATGTATTAATTATTTATAATAATTAAGAGTGGGACTATAAGTGGTCAAAAAAAATGGGTTAGAAGGCAAAATCACGAAAAAAGTTTCATGATTATGTGATGAACGCTCGAAAAGAAACATGGCTGGCTGGCTAGAACAAATAACATAGTAGAATCATGTCAATAATACACATATATTATATATATAATGTTCTTTTGTACTTGAAATATTCTCCATTGCTAGCTGCAGGTTTACTTTCATGTTCCTGGGAAAAAACTCACATGGCACTCAAAATGTTCTTTTCCATCACATTGTGAATCTCTACTAAATGTGGAATCGAATGGCGGTTGCTGGCTTAGCTATGGTGTGTCGCTTCATGTTTAATTCCCGTCCCTAATAGTGAGATGATGATCGCATCCCCATCGATTTGTGTTCATTGTTGTTCTGGATCTTGAATCATAGTAGATCCCGCTAAACCAACCCTGATCTGCTGTCGATTGTCCATATTACAGTCATTCCACCATATCAATCATATTATAATTGAGACTTAAATATCATATCAATCATAATTAAGACATAGTAATGTCAGCAATCTCCATATTTTTCTTTGGGCTTTAATCATGTCTAATCACAACATGAACAACCATGAATGGTTCATCCCCATCCCATCCCACCGTTCACGCCAAAGGATTTCACCAGGAACGCTCCCGGGCCCGCCTGGCAGGACCGGCACGGACCGGAACGGATGGCCATGTGATTCATCATTTTTTTCCGATCTTCGAAAGGCTCAAACAAAGGTGGCAATGTGATACATCTAAGAATATTAATGATAATCTTATTCGAAGAATTGACACGTTATACCTTTGCATGTTGAAGAAATGCTAAAAAGAAACCAAAAGCTAGTCCACATCATGGCTGGTCTCCTGCTACTCAACCACCAAATCTAAAAAAAAAAACAATCTAATGTGGGTAATTCCCAATGCCATGTTTACCATATAAACCAACCCCCAGTCATCACCATTTTTGTATATAGGTGCTATGGTTACCATTCCCGGTCATGGCTGGTTTATGGCATTGTTTTACCCACATTCCACCTATTACTATTATAGTTGGTATTATATTACCAGTCCATTCATATTCCACGATTGGTGGGAATATTATACCAACCATTACTTGGTTTGCCTATTAACTACTGTCATTTTCCAACTATAGCAATAATTCGCTATAGAAAATACCAGCTATAATCCAAGTATCCAGAGTATATACCAACTATCCATCCATATCCATCCAATTTCTCCATGATTCACACAGCTTTCGTCACCTCTTGATCCAGTCTTCTCTGGAGCTGTGCGGGGTAACTCTCGGATCTCCTCAGCGATGGAGATCCCCCCGAAGGGTCGGCCCGCGAAGCGGGCCCGGGAACCCCGGGAACCCCGGGCTCATGGGATTGAAATGGTTGATGGGTGGTTGGTATATATCCAGTATGCATATATATATACATAGTGTGTATATTATATATATATATCCCTCTCTCTCTCTCTCTCGGTTGATGTGGATGAATATCCTCACTTTTGCGTTATTATAGCTGCAGTACGCGTTTGTTCATGTTCGTTCAATAGTGGGGTAGACCAAACAGCAATCTGTAATGGGCCCATGATCACCCACGAGATTTCGAGGCTTATCTGCTGTTCTCACCTTGATGGGTGATATCACCGGAATTCATGGGGCTTTTCGTCTCCATATGTCTCCATCTACAACATGCAATGGATGCCCAGCTTTTGTGCTATGTTGTTCCCTTTTCACACGGGGTAATTACATTCCCAATGTTATTTTTGGATCAAAAAAACAGCCTTTCTCTCTCCATAAGTATGCTGCCATGTTCCCTGCATGACTATTATGACTAGCGACAAGTTCAAAATATGTTTTAATCTCAACTTTCCGCCAAAATTCAGCATCATTGTTCAGGTGCGATGGGTTTGAGGCGATTTAGCGATTCAGTTTAGAACATTTTAGAGCTAGAGACACTGGCGATCTTCATGAGAGCGAAAAAAAAATCGCATATGCATGCATAGATATATATATATATATACACTATATACACTGTATCTAATATATATATATATATATAATTATTTGTGTGATATTTGTATTTATATATATAATATGTGCAGTTTATCAAATACATTGTGTAATTATTAATTTTATTTACAAAGCTTTCTCACGGTTTCTCAATTTGTGCGTGTCGTCCTCGCACAGGGGCCATGCCTCTCTTTTCTCCACCATCCCCAATAGAGGCGTATTGTTGGGGTATACCTCTATTTGGATTACCCTCTGGTAAACGCTCACATAACGAACTGGACAATCACCATTTTTAATGGGAAAACTCACTATTTCTATGGCCATTTTCAATAGCTTTTTGTATGTTTACCAGAGGGTATTTGGGACGATCTACAGTGACCTTCAAATGGTCAATGAGATTGGGTTTGCCATGGTTTACCTCATGACTTCCTGAGAAAACACACGCCATCACCATCTGCCATGGCTCAAGCCGCCGCCCACCGTGTTGGAATCCCCCAAACACGCCACGCGTGTCACGGCGAATCCGGACGCGTCCATGGCAGAGGCTGGGCGCTTCATCGAGAGGCTTGGAGGGGATGGCAGTGAGCAACTGGAAAAAACAGGAAAAAAAATGGGAAAACCTTGGAAATCAGGCAACCATTGCACATGTTTTAACTACAGTATTTCTTGTATCTCCTTTACGAAGGAATGAATTAACCAACAGAATACGAGGAATTAGGCAAGATATGAGGGAATTGGAGCAACAAGCATGGAGAATAAAGCAAAGCATCAGCAAAAGCTGGATTGTAGTTTCTAGATGCCTACAGCATCTTTCAGGCAGCAAAAAGATTGGTTTGTTTTTCAAGTCACAAGCCAACTGGTCAATAGACACGGGAACCTGTGAATCAGTCTGTTCGAACCAGGCCCACCTAGGCAAGAGATCACAAACACATTAAACCCGAATCTTTGCAGAGATGCCGTTTCACGAACTCCGAAACATTCCAAAAAATTGAAGTTGGTAACAACATGGCATACCCTCTGGTAATTTAACATAGCGAACTGGAAAATCACCATTTTTAATTAATGGGAAAACTCACTATTTCTATGGCCATTTTCAATAGCCATGTTAGTTTATAGTGAGTTTTCCCATTTTTTATGGTGATTTTCCATAGCAAACTGTTATCTTACCAGAGGCTAACATGGCACCATGCACAACCAGCCGCAGGAAAATCCCCGGCCCCTGAAACCTGGAGCCAACAGCATGGAGCATCATGGAGCGGCTGAAACAGAGGTCCGAATTGTGGTCTGAATCATGGTTTATCCTATGTTGATCCGGTGCTTATCATGGTTTATCCTGTGCTTATCATGGTTTATCCTATACTTATCATGGTTTATCCTATGCTTATCATGGTTTATCCATGGTTTGTCCTATACACAACTGGGCCTATTACCCACTTTAAGCGACATTTCTGGTGAAACTGATTTGTGGCACCATCCAGGGAAGAAAGAAATCTAGGGTGCCACATGGGCAACAAAGTTTTTATTATCCCAAGATATCCCAAGTGCAGCTGATCATTGTACTTGGCCATATGGACTCTTCGGATTCACGAAGCAACTGGACAGAAAATACCCGGAGATACCCGGATGAGTCAAAATCCAGGAACTACAGGAAGTGATATCCTCTGGTAAACGTTTACATAACTGATGGGAAAATCACCATTTTTAATGGGAAAATCCATGAACTAAATCACCATTTTCAATAGCTATGTTAAATTACCAGAGGGTAATCCAAAACCATCCATAAAATCTCCGCTTCAAAAAGAAAACAACATTCTTCGCAGTGCTGGACATTGGCTTCCTGCATAGGACCGTGGGGGGGAACGCCTGAGTGTCGTGGGTGGCCGGCCCTCCGCTCCTATCGTGGCCATGAACTTTGATGGAAGGTAACTTGAAAAAGCTGCCCAGAAACGTTCCCAAAAACAGTGTTGACTCAGTTTTTTGAAGATCTTAGGGCGTCTTAGGGGTCCCTGAAAGCGACCACCAAGTCATCTCCAATCATCCCGGGTCGGGACATGTTTTCACGTCGTTTTCACGTCAAACGCCATGCGGCAGTCATGAGGGTCATGCCTCCGGCATTCCACTCATCGCCGTCCGCGCAATGGATCGCCATCGCCCACGGATGAGCTGGGTCCGCATCTTCCGGCACTGGGTCCTGAGGTCTTGTGGGGCCCAAGCTCCGATAAAACTCCAAGACGGGCCGGAAAATCTTACACATCATAATCATTTCTAGATGAACTTATCATTTCTAGATGAACTTACTTTCCAGCTGGCTCTAGGCTGGCTCTAAGCTGGCAACGGAAAGCCAGCCTCTTCGAAAGATCAGGACGCGCTGTTTCAGAAAGTGTCAGATGATCAGTTTCCATTGCGCTGGTCAAACTGATTCCTAGTGCAATGTCTTGATTCCCAGAGAGTATGTACTTATTAAAAAGTCATTAATAAGTATTAGGTGTAATAAGTACTTATTGACTAAAATTAGGTCAGTATTCCCATCTAAGAACCCAACATTTTAGAGAGTACTTTAATTAAAAACTTAGATTCGTTGCAATTCTCATTCATTCTCTCAGATTCAACCGCCAGAACCCATGGCATTGCGGAACGAATACACCAGGGGATGCCAAGGGGAGGGATTCTCACCCTGCTTGGATGCGCATCTGAGCTACTAAGTGGCTTAGGAGCATATGATAAATTATAAGCCAGTTATAATAAATGCCATATATATAATACAATAAGACTATAATATAAATAAATGAATGAATAAATATACATAATGTACCCATTAAATCCCATTCATGTATATTACATATAATATTATAACATTATAATATTATATATATGGGTTATATTAGCGGGTTATTACCAGTCCCCAGTCGTAGATCATCAAACCACAACCGCGGCCACTGCCACAAAGCATCAGTTACTCTTCCACCTTAGGTGCTGCTGGCACCTCTGGTGCACTTGGCGCTGCCTGCGAGGAATGACCTGCCTTTAGGTCCCAGAAATGGCAATGTGAATAGGGAAAATGAGGATCAACCAATGGATTTAGGGCCTTAGGAGTACTCACATTTAATTTCTGCTTGTCGGATCGAACAAATATATATATATAACTAACTATCTATCTATCTATCTATCTATCTATCTAACTATCTATCTATCTAACTATCTATCTATCTATCTATCTATCTATCTATCTATCTATCTATCTATCTATCTGTGTGTTATATATATATATATGTGCGTGTGTTATATATATATATATGTGTGTGTGTGTATTTATTTATTTATATCTATACATTGTGAAGCCATGTGAAACCCATCAAACCCCAATCATCGGCATGAGTCAAGGGTCGACGGGTCTGAAAAATCATCGGCATTTCCCAGAATCCAGTGCTGGAATGTGCTGGATGTATCGGGTGTGGTAAGTTACCAATGCCATGCACCGGCCCCCAATTAATTCATTTGGATTCAACTCATCCCCAAATGCTAATTCTTAATTGGCTTTACCCTCTGGCACACGCTTACATAGCGAACTGGAAAAATCACAATTTTTATCCATTTTTGCAAAATCAACTATTTCTATGGCCATTTTCAATAGCAAACTGTAACAAATTACCAGTGGGTACGACATTCTTTCCGCATCAAACGTTCGATCGTCTGCCTCACCACTTCGCGCCACACCTAGCGATGTTTCGGAGCGACTTCACCTTTTGGGGTTGCTATGTTCCTTGTATTGTCATGGAAGGACATGTTGTGTACTGTATCTAATGGGATGCGATGTGATCTACATATGTATACATATATATATATAATATGTATATTTCAATTCCATTCATATGAAGTTCTTACATTTCTCATTCGGGGGACCCCCTACAAATGAAAAACTGATAAACTGAGGGTTTAGTTATTTGCGAAGGTGGTGATATGCTGGACATGAGGTGGGCCCATTCAAGGCAACAAATGAGAGGGCCAAAATCGGATGGCAACCAATGAGAGGGCAAGGTTTGTGGATGGCAAGCGCATGACGCGCATGACGGAGGAAGGGGCAACTTAGAGGAACCTACCATACAGGTATACCCTCTGGTGAACTAACATAGCAATGGAAAATCCCCATTTTTAATGGGAAAATCCACTATTTCTATGGCCATTTTCCATTGCTATGTTAGTTCACCAGAGGGTATCTGAACTTGGTGTATACCGTATTCTAGCTATGGAAAGGTCAACTCTTGCATTTCTCCCGAATTCTCAGACAAATCCATTTCAATATACTCACCAATATTCAAAATCCAAACATTCACAATGCATTATTGGGTGAAACAAATAGAACAGGTTAAATTTACATAAATTCACCATTATTTATCATGTCAGTGGGATTATGCGGCTATTGCTGGGATAATTTAAATTAACTATCGTTGTCGAATCGTTGTCAAAATTCCATTGCCAACCTTAGATACCCTTAGATACCCTGCAAAAAAAATATATATATATATATAACTGCAAAAAAGAAAAAACTAACAGTTGTTAGCTGGTTAGTAGATCCTCCAATCTTTACAGCCAAAGTGGTTCGACCAGATTCGCCTGAGGTCTCCGTCTCCGCGTCCTGAATCCGGAGCAGGATGGAGCTTGGAGATCGCCACCATCCACTAATTTCACCTTTTTTATAGGTAAAAAAAAAAAAACAGTCATGGGTGGTTTATGATGTTTATGGCATTGCTTTACCCACATTTTTTTGCCACCAATCTTATTATCTTTACCCATTTAAGGATAGATACTGTTAATGAGTGGGTCCATTATATATCCAGTAGAAAATCTGAATTTCATGAGAAAATTGAGAAAATCATGTTGCACAATCCCATTGGTAGGGGTATTGAAGTAATACCGCAATACCAAATAATAGACATCTGTTGGGGACGGTTTATTCTGGGTTTACCACATTATGAGGTTTTCAAACGCTTAAACCAATGAATACTGGAGATTTTCCACCTGCAAAACCACAAGTTTTCATAAGTTTTCTAGGGAATTAAAATATTATTTCTGTTTTTGATTGAGGTTTTTGACCAGCAAAAGTGGAGATTGCCCCGTTCTTGTCAACAAAACGATATGGAATTCCATGGGTTTCTGGGTTTTCCACGGTTGGAATGCAGCTGCGGATAGCTACGAACCAAATCAGGGGTACATCACCCGATTGGAAATGGTTGGTTTCTTCATTCACCGAGAAAAAAAGGTCACCCTGAACCGTAGCTCCCCGTCCTTCTCTTTCTCGGAGCTTTTGCCACCATCACCAGCTTTCTTTCCCTCGGCAGCTTTCTCTCCCTCGGCAGCTTTCTCTCCCTCGGCAGCTTTCTCACCCTCGGCAGCTTTCTCGCCCTCGGCAGCGGCGACGCGCGGAAGGATGAAAAGCAACCTCAGCTGCGGCAAAATATGGACCTGTTGGACCTTGTGATCTCCCACATTTGGGCATTATTCTGGGGAAATTATAATATTTCACTAACCTGAATTGAGGCCATTTTGGGATGATTTCCCTTACTAACCATTATTTCAGGGTTCGGTCGTAGTGAGGTCGTTATAATTTACCCAGATTATTGGATACAATTACAATGACGTGTTTAGATTGGTTTAGTGTCTTTAGGGATCTCGGAACGCCCATGATTGTTTTAAGTGAAAAGCACGTGGCCCCAACACCCTAGGTGATCATAGGTCCCATTAGGTTCGTGTTCATACGTTGAATGTCGCAGGTGCATCAAGTAGGTTAGTTAATCCACTCAACCTGAGAATTTGCCCACTATGACACTTTGACCACTAGATTCTCCCAAGGAAGTATCAGTTTTACTCTGGTTCCAATTATTTGATTTATACTAATTATGGCTAATCACAGAACCACGTATAATTAGATCATTAATCATCATTAGGAATCAGAACGTTATTGATGCTGTTCAGATTTTGGAGGTTGACCAATCAGAACAGACCAACCCCCACCAAGACGCCATGAAGGAATCAGCAAAATGCACCTTAGCAACGGACGCCAGGGTAGGCAATGGGGTACCAATGGGCCCATGACATATGCTGAGTTTTTTCTGCGTTACAAGTATAGAGACTGTAACCAACAATCAGTATATCTAAATATATATATATATGTATATATATATAGCCACAGCATATGTTATTATGAAACTTGGATAAAATTCGGATACAAGTACGTATGCAACCAATGAAAATGGAACTTGGTGTGGCGCAAAATTAGGATCCTAGACCGAATATATGTGTGTGGTTGATGATTGGAAACACGCCCTTTCTGGCTTGCAGAACCCTCTTCCCGTCCCAATTATGGGAGTGCGAGAAGGCTCAGCTAGCACCTTCGGTTGATTTTTACAAGGAAAAAATCACAGGAATCCAGGAAGCTTTGCAAAATGAAAGGTGGCAAATGGGTCTGTCTGAGAAAAGGGTACCACAAAACCGCATGTTTTATCATCATCTTCTCTATGAAACCATTTGGGGGGTATCTCCCACTAGCAAACCGACATGGGAAATTGGAACCCCTTGGTGCTTTGTGCCATGTTGTCACGATTCTCACAAGTTCCACCCCGTGATATGACATGTATGTAACGCACATATGCAGTGTGCAAAATATGCTATGCATATATATATATATATTATATATATATATATGTGTGTGTGTATATGTGTATATATATATATATGTGTATATGTGTATGTATATATATATATGTGTGGGTGGTAAAAATAGATATAATTTGCCATGTGTTTGTTTCAAGGGTTTATTCATATACATATGAATGGACATATTTTCATGCAGCTGCGTACATCTTTCATGCCGGTTCAATCCGGTTCATACATCTCAGATCACCCCGGTTCAGAACATGTTTGCTTTCTATTTATTTAATATCACCCCAACACACTTAAAACAAAAAAAACAAACGCTGACGAATGTGGTGGAAAAAAGGTTCTGCAAAAGTGATAACAGGTTTTTCTGCATCTGTGCTATAAAGAGATCAGACTTTTCCATGGCCCGGCCGACCCAGAGACGAAACCGATGACCCAGTGGATTCAAGGTTTTCCCCTGGATTTTCCCTCAATTTCAGTACCAGATTCTTTGATGATAAACCACCTTAGAATCTTAGAGTACCAGAATGTAATGTGGGATGATGATTAGTGTGGTGATCCTCTTTTGTTTCAATTTTTGAAATAATTCAGGCCCAGGGAATTTGAGGGGGTGGGTCGGTTTTGTTTCAATTTTTTTGGGGGGGTCATTTTTTCAGTTTTTTTTTTATTTTTAATGTTTAAATTGTTTTAAATGATGTGTTAATTTGTTGTTAAATTTATTTCAATTTTTTCTGGTGTCCCTATATTTTTTCAGAAAAAAACTACCATGCGGTTTGGAACCTCCATTCTTAGCTCCAACTGGCTCCTGCAAAAAATTAGCGCATCTGATGTGGTAAACCCAAACCATCATGAACCATCAACTATATGGGTGGTAATCCATCCCCACATGATAAGCTGCCACCGGGTTACCCAACTATCCCAGTTATGGCTGGACTATCCCCAACTATCCCCAACTATCCCGGTTGTGGCTGGACTACCCCCAACTATCCCGCTGGACTATCCCGCTGGACTATCCCGCTGGACTATCCCCAACTATCCCGCTTGTGGCTGGACTATCCCCAACTATCCCCAACTATCCCCAACTATCCCCAACTATCCCCAACTATCCCAGTTATGGCTGGACTATCCCAACTATCCCCAACTATCCCGGTTGTGGCTGGACTATCCCCAACTATCCCCAACTATCCCCAACTATCCCCAACTATCCCCAACTATCTCAGTTATGGCTGGACTATCCCCAACTATCCCGCTGGACTATCCCCAACTATCCCAGTTGTGGCTGGACTATCCCCAACTATCCCGCTGGACTATCCCCAACTATCCCAGTTGTGGCTGGACTATCCCCAACTATCCCAGTTGTGGCTGGACTATCCCCAACTATCCCCAGCTCTCCCAGTTTTGGCATTGGCATTCCTCATTCGTTCCGTCCACATCCGTCGGCGGCACATCCACTGGCACTGCATGCAGCGAGCAAAGACTTGGTCAAAGTGGCTGGCCTTGACGTCCTGACGGCGACGAAACGGTAACGCTGCCTATTAGGGGCGAGCGTGGCAAAAACACGGCGAAATTGATCATGATTGATCTATGAAAAACTGTTGATTTGTCCGGCAAATATGGTCGTACTGGCAAAAAAAAATGCTGATTTGAAGCTGCGTTTGAGATTTTTAAGTATCAATACATATGATTCAATCATCAAAGTTGGGATTTCAATCAGAAGAAATATTAAACAAAGAAAGTTTAGATCTTAGCCACAGGCCATAGCCAACAAATTGTGGGATTCAAGCGATTCAAACAGCAAAGTTGGGAGTTTAACCAGCAAGCTTGGCATGACCGGCAAGAATGTGCCGCTTGGTCGGCCAGTGGCGTTGCTACATGTTTGAAGCTTCCCCCTGGGGACAAATTGCTTCTTGGACTCTAGGATGTGCCTACCGGGGCGGTAGTTCTGGAGGCATGTATGTGTACCGGATCCACCATTGCATGGACCTTGAAGCAATGAAAGCAGGCAACAAAACAGGTACATCTGGCAGTAGAATATGAGAATTGCGTAGAATTACGTGGCTCAGAGTTGCACCTTTCGGTGACATGTTTCCGGTTTTGGAATGTTTTGGATTGCTTTTGAAACCAAGAAAACAAAGCTGCCAGATGACTCTGACATATTCCGAAGGCTGCCCTGATCCAGCCTTGCTGAAAGCACAAGCGGTTTGGAAGCAGCTGTTCCAAGTGAGACACCTGACACAAAATCAGAATCCCAGGTCTTTGCGGCTTCACCTTGTCATGATGGAACCCCCCAATAAAAATCACAGACTTCGTCTTAAAGCGTTCATTCCTAGGCAGGCCGGGCAACAAGGTCGCCCACCAAAGTGGATCCAAAAGTCTCAGCTAAGGGGCATGGCAAAACTCGTGACCTCGCAAAACAAGCGAAAGCAGCCCTCCCACTCCGGCATTTTCCTTGGCGAGATTGAAGATCGAGGCGAACTGTACCCTTCGGGGATGTCCCGTCCAAACCAGTAAACACCATATAACACCACAAGTTTTTCACAAGGATTTTCGGGGTGTCATGTTCATCCCCACATCCGTTTAATACCTTGATAATCACTGATAATCTATATCTGGCTGGCGCCACTCCCATCCCGTCCCATCCCAAATGTGTCCCCAAAATGGAAAACGATTTCTGCGTCGCTGCCTCTACCTGTACCATCATCGGGAATGAGTGATCTGTGCTGCAGTAGCCCCCAATGAACTACTTGCTCTAACATACATATACACACACATATATTATTATATGCATAGGTATGTATATACAATTATATAATATGTGTATATAACATGCATAGGTATGTATAGGTATGTATATAACATGCATAGGTATGTATATACAATTATATACACATCTGATTAAGCGTAGCATAAATAATATTAAATAATCACTAATGACAATGCTCGGTAAACTATGAAACTCGTACAAAACATATGCAAAAAAAACATAGGTTGCATCATTGAAAAATACTCATGATGTTTCAATGACATATACATATAAACCATACATAAACCATCCAGAAACACAATCGATATCGTTTTTTTCTGGAGAAAAAAAACAATCGATTATCATCATTTTCCCAATTCAAAAAACGCCATGACTTGGGGAAAAGATGTTTTCCTCATTTTCAGACACACCCATAGATAGACATACCGATAATCGTTAAACTTCGCGAAACATCCATATATATATATATTATATATATTATATATATATATATCACACAACAAACCATATATTTATATATAATTAGCCTACATAAACTATCCTTTGATGCCCTCCATCACCACACCGGGCCATCGACCAAGCAGACCGAGCATCTCCCGGGCCATCTCTGAAGCCAGACCCAAGGCCACATTGGCACAGCTGAAGGCCATGGCGCTGTACATCTCCGCCTTCATCACCTCTCCTGGCCGTGCAACCCATGGTGGTTTTATTTTTTGGGGCATGAAAAAAGAATCTGGAAGCTTCCGAGAGATTTGGAATCTCCTAGTTTCCAAATGTTTGCTATATTCCACATATTCTATGTGTATATATATATGTGTGTATACATAATTATTTACTTAATTGTATAATATATATAGGATATGTGTACCATATATATATATTATATACATATACATACATATTTTCAGCTCCCAGTTCCACACAGTTCTGAGTTCGGCACCGGCAGGCGCCAGGTCGCCACTGGCCATGAGCATCCCGTGGTCCAGCCACTTGGCCCAGAAAAAGGTGCCCCAGGCCGAGAAGTAGGCCTCGTCCATGTCTGCCATGGCGATGCGCTAGATCTCTCTCTCTCTCTCTCTCTGCCTGTGCGTGACTTAATCACAACTCATTATAACTCATATTTATATATAACGTTATATAACATTATAGAACTATTGATGATGTACAGTTTCTGCGAAAAAAAACAAACGAGTCTTCAGCCAGGCTGCCAAAGTCTTCACGGCCGAAACGCTGCTTCGAAGAGCTCCGCCTGGGACGATTCATGGGACGTGACGGGATGGGCCGCTGGTTGTAGGTTTTTGACCCATCCCCACCTAAAATAATGTGGGTAAAACAATAATAAACCACCCATTTGGGAATGAATTACACCACCTATGGTGATTTGGGGGATGGTTTATTATTGTTTTACCCACATTACCCCATTTTCGAAGTGGTTTTAAGACGGGAAAATCTGCAGGAAACTGGCTGCAGCTCCGTTAGGGAGTTCAGGGAGTCTTTTGGGAATGCGGATTCCAACATATCAAAAGATAGATGCAATAGATCCTCTGGTAATTTGATATATAGCTATTGAAAATTGCCAAAAATGGTGATTTTCCATGGTGATGTGTACTGAGCTCAATTTCTTTTGCTGGTGGAGTGTTGATTGATACGGAGAAGGGATGATATTTTTTGCTTTTCACCACGCCTGCTGGGAGAAATTTGAGGCCTCTTTCGCCCAAACAGGTGGCTGCAATGAGGAAGGGCAGCGTGATGAAGAGGTAGGTGGTTTCCTGGCACAAAAGTGATCACTGGCATAGCTGTCACATACCGATCCCGGGTTGATTTTTATAGAAAATCTGTCACCCTAGCTGTTTAATTGTGAAATCCCAAGGGGTGCTGATTTTCCCTGGTGAAACCAATCCGGTGGCCGTGGTTGACATGGTGATCAAAAGTTCCCAATTCCTGGCATTGTGGTGCGGAAGCCAAACATGACCAACAATATAGGCACTACAGTGTTCACAGCGCCCGAGGGGAAACGTTTCAGCCATCGCTGGAATCCTTGAAGGAAAGCATGACATCGTGGACGACTTTGGGTTCACCCATTGCTTAAAGCACCTCTATAATCCTCTATATGTATCTACATATATATATATTGGTATTTTTATATATATATATTATCTGTGTGCGTGTGCGTATGTATGTGTATGTGTATATATATATATGTGTGTGTGTATATTGTACATGTATAATATAGATTAATTATATAAGAAAACTTTATCTGTGGAAGACCGTGATTATCCATCATATGCGTGTTTCATTTGTAATGCGGTAAACCCAATGCCAGCATCCATGGGACGCATCCCATTTACCAACCACCTGGGATTACATCATCCCATTGTCGATATATATATATCCACCATGAATCCAACATATTCACCTACTTCTAAACTATTCTTTTTACCAACTTATCTCTCATAAATCAAGTCTGAATTTCTGAATCCCCATTTTTTGCTGGTTAAATTATTAGTTACCCTCTGGTAAACCAACATAACTGATGGGAAAATCACCATTTTTGATGGGAAAACTCACTATTTCTATGGCCATTTTCAATAGCTATGTAACAAATTACCAGAGGGTAGTTTACCAGTTGGTTACTTGATGTTACTTGGAGGATCATCCCAGTGGTTACTCACTTGGCCATCCTAAGTTTCGTGGGGTCCCTGTACCTCCTAAGCGGTGAGTAACAAGCAACTGGGGCACCCAGGCACCGAGACCCCTGAGTTCCACCTACGCCCAGTCTCCGATCGCTTGTACCCGCTCCGCTGGATGCCCCAGAAATGCGGCAAGCGCCCCGCCAGAACGAAACGCCAAAACCTGGGCGCCAGGTCGGTTCGGACCAGGGGGCGGTGACCATGGTTTCTACATTATATACATGTGTATATATAAGGAACTACTCGTACTTAGAATATGCCGAAATTCAATCCTGCCCCCTCCAAGGAAAAAAAAGGTACATAGAATATATTTTATTTTTAGAAGATTTTAGAAGATCCATTTTAGAAGATCCAATCCTGAAAAATTCAGCTCCACCAAAAACCCTGGGCTCCCACCATGGATCACCATGGTTTTTTCCACTGCAATCGCGAACTTAGTTCAACTTCTTCAATTTCTTTTTACAATCTAAACATATTTCGTAGGCATTCATGTCGGTTCCCGCCGTTTTGCCGCGACAATCTCGAAAGAAATGCAACTGATGCAGGTGGCAGGGAATGTGTCATTAAATCTGCCAAATTCCTATGTTTTTCAATCAAAATTTAGATTTTTTGACATTGACCGTGAAAGCCATGAAAACCAGGGGAAGGTTCATCCATTTTTGAGGAACGCCACCTAATTCCATTGGTTTCCATTGCAAAGCAGTTTTTTGTTCATTGTTCTGCGACACCGGTCGTGGGGGTGACCTTAGGTGAGCTTGAAAAACTCATTTTTTTGAATACAATTCATCCTTTTTTTTGAAGAACACCACCTAATTCCATTGGTTTTCATTGCAAAGTAGGTTTTTCTCATTGTTCTACGGCACCGGTCGTGGGGGTACCCTTCGGTGAGCTTAAAAAAATCATTTTTTTAATACAATATGAAAAAAAAATAATCATTTCAAGGGACATCAGAAACTATATTTTTTGACACCAACCGTGAAAGAACATGAAAACCAAAGGAAGGTTCATCCATTTTTTGTGGAATACAACCTAATTCCATTGGTTTTCATTGCAAAATATTTTTTTTATCATAGTTCTACGACACCAGTCGTGGGGGTAACCTTAGGTGAGCTTGAAAAACTCATTTTTTTACTACAATATAAAAAGAAATTGATCATTTCAGGGGACCTTTTTTCCTGAAATGTTCTCCAGTTTAGGAACTTCAGACATCCAGGGTCGCTACTCCCCAAAGGGAATTGATCTATACCCTTATACATGGAAGAGACCCAATTCCTTGCAGAACCACATACATAGAATATAAGTCTCAAGGGGAAGATTCACTTTTTTTTATAGGAACACCACCCAATTCCATTGGTTTTCATTGCAAAGTAGGTTTTTTTCATTGTTCTGCGGCACCGGTCGTGGGGGTAACCTTAGGTGAGCTTGAAAAACTCATTTTTTTTTAACAAAACAAAAAGAAATTTATCATTTCGGGTGACCTGGTGCTTTTTTAATGTTCCAGTTCAGGAACTTCAGACATCCAGGGTCGCTACTCCCAAAAGGAATTGATCTATACCCTTATACATGGAAGAGACCCAATTCCATGCAGAACTACATACATAGGATATAAGTCTCAAGGGGAAGATTCACTTTTTTTTTATAGGAACACCACCCAATTCCATTGGTTTTCATTGCAAAGTAGGTTTTTTTCATTGTTCTGCGGCACCGGTCGTGGGGGTAACCTTAGGTGAGCTTGAAAAACTAGTTTCTTTTAACAAAACAAAAAGAAATTTATCATTTCGGGTGACCTGGTGTTTTTTTAATGTTCCAGTCCAGGAACTTCAGACATCCAGGGTCGCTACTCCCCAAAGGGAATTGATCTATACCGTCCATACCCTTATACATGGAAGAGACCCAATTCCTTGCAGAACTACATACATAGAATATAAGTCTCAAGGGGAATATTCACCTTTTTTTGTATAGGAACACCACCCAATTCCATTGGTTTTCATTGCAAAGTAGGTTTTTTTCATTGTTCTGCGGCACCGGTCGTGGGGGTAACCTTAGGTGAGCTTGAAAAACTCATTTTTTTAATACAATATAGAAAGAAATTGATCATTTCAGGGGACCTTTTTTTCCTGAAATGTTCTCCAGTTTAGGAACTTCAGACATCCAGGTTGCTACTCCCCAAAGCGAATTGATCTATACCCTTATACATGGCAGAGACTCAATTCCTTGCAGAACTACATACATAGAATATAAGTCTCAAGGGGAAGATTCACTTTTTTTTAATAGGAACACCACCCAATTCCATTGGTTTTCATTGCAAAGTAGGTTTTTTTCATTGTTCTACGGCACCGGTCGTGGGGGTAACCTTAGGTGAGCTTGAAAAACTCATTTTTTTTAACAAAACAAAAATAAATTTATCATTTCGGGTGACCTGGTGCTTTTTTAATGTTCCAGTTCAGGAACTTCAGACATCCAGGGTCGCTACTTCCCAAAAGGAATTGATCTATACCCTTATAAATGGAAGAGACCCAATTCCTTGCAGAACTACATACATAGAATATAAGTCTCAAGGAGAAGATTCACTTTTTTTTATAGGAACACCACCCAATTCCATTGGTTTTCATTGCAAACTAGTTGTTTTTCATCATAGTTCTACGACACCAGTCGTGGGGGTTCCCTTAGGTGAGCTTAAAAGACTCATTTTTTAAATACAATATAGATCATTTCAAGGGACCTTTTTTTCCTGAAATGTTCTCCAGTTTAGGAACTTCAGACATCCAGGGTCGCTACTCCCCAAAGGGAATTGATCTATACCCTTATACACCGAAGAGACCCAATTCCTTGCAGAACTACATACATAGAATATAAGTCTCAAGGGGAAGATTTACCATCTTTTTGAGGAACACCACCCAATTCCATTGGTTTTCATTGCAAAGCTGTTTTTTTTCATTGTTCTACGACACCGGTCGTGGGGGTAACCTTAGGTGAGCTTGAAAAACTCATTTTTTTAAACAAAACAAAAATATATATCATTTCGGGTGACCTGGTGTTTTTTTTAATGTTCCAGTTCAGGATCAGACATCCAGCTACTCCCCAAAGGGAATTGATCTATACCCTTATACATGGAAGAGACCCAATTCCTTGCAGAACTACATACATAGAATATAAGTCTCAAGGGGAAGATTCACTTTTTCTTTATAGGAACACCACCCAATTCCATTTGTTTTCATTGCAAAGTAGGTTTTTTTCATTGTTCTACGGCACCAGTCGTGGGGGTAACCTTAGATGAGCTTGAACAACTCATTTTTTTTAACAAAACAAAAAGAAATTTATCATTTCGGGTGACCTGGTGTTTTTTTAATGTTCCAGTTCAGGAACTTCAGACATCCAGGGTCGCTACTCCCCAAAAGGAATTGATCTATACCCTTATACATGGAAGAGACCCAATTCCTTGCAGAACTACATACACAGAATATAAGTCTCAAGGGGAAGATTCACTTTTTTTTATAGGAACACCACCCAATTCCATTGGTTTTCATTGCAAAGTAGGTTTTTTCATTGTTCTACGGCACCGGTAGATCGTAGGGGTAACCTTAGATGAGCTTGAAAAACTCATTTTTTTGAATACAATACAAAAAGAAATTGATCATTTCGGGGGACATCGGAAGCTATATTTTTTGACACCAACCGTGAAAGACCATGAAAACCAGGAGAATGTTCATCAATTTTTTCAAGGTAGAGTAGTTTTTTTACCATAGTTCTACGACACCCGTCGTGGGGGGGGAACCCTTAGGTGAGCTTCAAAAACTCATTTTTTTAATACAATATAAAAAGAAATTGATCATTTCGGGGGACCTGTTTTTTTTGTTGAAACGTTTTAGGAACTTCAGACATCCAGGGTTGCTGCTCCCCAAAGGGAATTACGTATATAATATATACCCTTATCCATGAAAGGGACCCAGTTCCTTGCAGAATTACATACATAGAATATAGGTCCCCAGTGAACATATTCATCCATTTTTCCAGGAACACCACCCAATTCCGTTGGTGTTCATTGCAACATATTATTTTTTCATAGTTCTACGACACCGTTCGTGGGGGGCCCCCTTCGGTGAGCCTCAGAAACTCATTTTTTTAATACAATATAAAAAGAAATTGATCATTTCGGGGGACCTGTTTTTTTTGTTGAAACGTTTTAGGAACTTCAGACATCCAGGGTTGCTGCTCCCCAAAGGGAATTATGTATATATATATTACCCTTATGCATGACAAGGACCCAATTCCTTGCAGAATTGCATACATATAATATAGGTCCCCAGTGAAAATATTCATCAATTTTTTCAGGAACACTACCTATTTCCATTGGTGTTCATTGCAAAACAACATGTTTTCATAGTTCTACGACACCGGTCGTGGGGGGGCCCCTTCGGTGAGCCTCAGAAACTTATTTTTTTAATACAATATAAAAAGAAATTGATCATTTCGGGGGACCTGTTTTTTTTTGTTGAAACGTTTTAGGAACTTCAGACATCCAGGGTTGCTGCTCCCCAAAGGTAATTACGTAAATAATATATACCCTTATACATGAATGGGACCCAATTCCTTGCAGAATTACATACATAGAATATAGGTCCCCAGTGAACATATTCATCCATTTTTCCAGGAACACCACCCAATTCCGTTGGTGTTCATTGCAACATATTATTTTTTCATAGTTCTACGACACCGTTCGTGGGGGGCCCCCTTCGGTGAGCCTCAGAAACTCATTTTTTTAATACAATATAAAAAGAAATTGATCATTTCGGGGGACCTGTTTTTTTTTGTTGAAACGTTTTAGGAACTTCAGACATCCAGGGTTGCTGCTCCCCAAAGGGAATTATGTATATAATATATAATTACCATTATACATGACAAGGACCCAATTTCTTGCAGAATTGCATACATATAATATAGGTCCCCAGTGAAAATATTCATCCATTTTTCCAGGAACACCACCCATTTCCGTTGGTGTTCATTGCAAAATAGTTTTTGTCATAGTTCTACGACACCAGTTGTGGGGGGTATCCTTCAGTGAGCTTGAAAAAATATTTTTTTAAAACACATTATAAAAGGAAATTGGTCATTTCGGGGGACCTGTTTTTTGTTGAAACGTTCTAGTTGAGGAATTTCAGACATCCAGGGTTGCTGCTCCCCAAAGGGAATTATGTATATAAAATATATACCCTTATACATGAAAGAGACCCAATTCCTTCCAGTACGGATGATATTTTGATAATTCAAAAGATTTTAGTGGGATGAAAATTTGAAAAATCTCCATTTATGTCCATTTATGCTGCAGTATGGGTGATATTTTGATAATTCAAAAGATTTTAGTGGGATGAAATTTTGACAAATGTCCAGTTATGTCCACTTATGCTGCAGTATGGGTGATATTTTGATAATTCAAAAGAGTTTAGTGGTATGAAATTTTGACAAATGTCCATTTAATGTCCATTTATGCTGCAGTATGGGTGATATTTTGATAATTAAAAAAGATTTTAGTGGGATGAAAATTTGACAACTCTCCATTTGTGTCCATTTATGCTGCAGTATGGGTGAAATGTTGATAATTCAAACAAATCAAAAAAAAAGCATCTTCCAGAATTGAAAAAATATTCTATGTACACCTCTGGGATATTCTATGTATACGTTTTTTTTCAATTCCTGAAGATGCCCTAAAACGTATTTTTTTTTCAATTCTATATTCTATGTACTAGTAGTTTCTTATATATATATATAATAATAATAATAACAAATATTGCATGTAATATGTAATAGTTGTTGTATATGCATGTGCACACACACACATATGTATATATATATAGGGATGAATCAAAATTTAAGGATCATGGGACCCCAGGATCTAATTCGTTACCCAGTTTTGACCTATACACATCATAGATCACCCAGCTATACCTTCGCCATGCAGCAGCTCCAACACATATTGGATCCTATCGGTGGGCTCCATTTTTCAAGCAAAATGGGACTCATCATCCTATTGAGGGGATCTTAGGACTCATTGTTTTTATTTGTTTTTAACAGTGCTTGAAACATCTTGAAATGACAGTTGGAGCCTTCGGGTAGCTCATTCTGTTGCTTCATCCCGTCCTTGGAAGGTTTTGTTGCACCTGCCATGGTTTTCCCAATCCACCGCCACAATCATTGGCTGCCTCCGAAAAAATTGTAGACTGAACCCTTCCTTGTTAGATCTTCCAGGTCCTTCCATGCCCGGAATCCGTGGATTTCAGGAAACTGCACGAGCGTCAAGGACAAACTCACCGCCGTCACAGTGCAATCGCTCTCACGGAAGCAGTCCTGCCAGGCAGAGCTGACGGGTCAGCTCACCCTCCCGGTGAGCAGAATTTGGAAATACGGTTTCTGGAATATTTCTGGAAAGGTTCATCTTCCCAGAAATGTCTATAATATATATATCTCTTTATATATATATATATATATATTTACATATATATATATCTCTCTCTCTTTATATATATATATATATATATCTTTGTGAATTCTCGAGGTTGTGCTGGTGATTAACGTGATCACTTAATCAAACATGGCTGGCTGGCAAGTCCCCCATTTCGTCCGATGATGTTTCGCTATAACAAGCTATAAATCACCATTGATCATGTATTTTCCCATGATGTTCCCATGATTTTCCCATTAAAACCGCCATTTTTCTTGGGGGATGTCCCAGCCACAGGGCGGATAACGCAAAAGGCCCGGTGCCTGCTGCGCCGGATCGGTCACAACCTGCGGTGACCCGGTGGTCGTGCAAGCGCCTCTGTTGGGGTTGTACCTGGTATAATCATATGCTCATGAACGTGCATGTATTTACTCTTTTAATATGAATCATATGATATTGTATATGGATATATATGTATGTGCAAATGCATTAAAAAAAAAATACAAATATGCTATGTGTGTATATATATATATGTGTGTGTGTGTACATAAGTATCCTTTCATGAATATGTGTAACTACATGCAAAGATAGATAAAGATAAAAGTACATACGCATATCTGAGGATTCACAATATAGGCTCTCAATACTCAAACCCGCCCCTTTCCCCTTTCCCCTTGTCGACCCAAAACATGACCCAATCAAGGAGCCATGTGATTCTCATTCGCCAGTTGGTTATCCTCTGGTGAACGTTTACATAACTATGGAAAATCATCATTTTTGATGGGAAAATCATGGAAAATCAACTATTTCTATGGCCATTTTCAATAGCTATGTTACCCTCTGGTAATTTAACATAGCTATTGAAAATCACCATTTTTAATGGGAAAATCCACTATTAATGGTCATTTTCAATAGCTATGTTAAATTACCAGAGGGTAGTTTACCAGTTGGTTACTTGATGTTACTTGGAGGATCATCCCAGTGGTTACTCACTTGGCCATCCTAAGTTTCGTGGGGTCCCTGTACCTCCTAAGCGGTGAGTGCGACTTGACAATGGTTCCTAACTCGTCCGAACTCTAGGAAACCAACATAGATATGGAATGATATGGAAACCCGAAACCCACCATTTGTAGATAATGTTTCTTGCAAAACCCGTTGGTTTTCCATATCGATGCGAAATGACTGTAGAGCAACTGGTTAGTAGCCATAGTGCATCACCCTTTATCCTCCTATATCCCACTGATACAATTGGGGGTAACCGCACGAATTGCTTATCATTATCTCAGAAAACTCAGGATGTCATCAACTGTCATGAACTGTCATCAACTGTCAGGCCCCTATCGATTGTTTTGTGGATTCACCCCCTAATCATCAACCAGGAGTTGAAGCACCGCCGCTCCACAGCGGAACGGGGGAACAACTGGGGGATTCCATGGGATTTTCCATGAAATCACAAGTTTCTGACCATCCAAGTACTCCAACGTAGCCATAGAAATTGCAGATCTGTAGATGGTGTAGCCATGTTGAGCTATCTTTTCCATGGCGAAACCATCATCTTCCACGGCAAACTCTTTCATTACCCGAGGCTAGTCACCCAGTTTTTGATGTTCCCACTTGCTCCTATCCCAAGTTCCAAACTGCAAGTACTGGTGCTCTAACCGTATGGTGGACATATGTAAAAATCAAACAAAATTGCGTGTAAAGACCGACAAAAAATGATGACCCGCCATCCGGCCATCCGGTGGCCGGATGTAGCGCGCCTTGTTGCGGCCCCAAGTAGCCGTGGCCACGGACGCAGCCATTAAGGTGGTCGCAAGGCAGACCTGCGCGCCACGGATGGAAAAACTATGGGGAAGTAATGGAACTTCGTGGGATTAAAACATGTTCAATGGGATTTCATAGGTGAGACATCATGGGATTTCATGGGACTTGATTTTAATGGAATATATCCCGGGATATATGGGATAATAATAAACATGTTAAGGATGTATAAGGGGATGTAGTTGGGGATGAAGGATATGCAAGGGGATGTGGTTGGGGATGTGAACCACTTGTGTGTCTGTGTGTCTGAAAATGTGCGATTTAACGTACAAAAGGTGGGTGCGTGTGAAAAGTGGTGTGTTAAGCATCATTAACTTTTCGAGTGGAATAGGGGATACCGGGATACCCCAGTTTGTAGCTACAGTATTCATGGGTATTGAACCAACAATCCAATGGTGGTATAAAATCAACCAAAATGATGATAAAATCGAGATGTGGATACAAATAAAAGGGGTCATTTGCAATATATAGAGGATATCCCAAAATGTCAGTGGCATGTTTACCCATACTTTGATGATCAGGTAGCCTCCACTACAATCCATGGCCGGGCAATCCTGAAATGGATAGCTCGGATGGGGAAAAATCATCGAACTAACTGGTATGATGTGGGTAAAACAATGCCATAAACATCCATAAACCATCCCCCAGTCATCACCATTTCTAAAGGTGGTATGGTTACCATTCCCAGTGCGTGGTAAACATGGCATTGTTTTACCCACCTTCAACGGTATAAACCCCAACAAAAACATGAGGTCCCAGCCCCAGCAGTTCGTCAAGGTGCCAAGCCAAAACTGCAACTTACCGAGTCCGTGAAAGGAGGGGTTTCCTGTCGCCGGGCCACCGGAAATTGTTGAAGATAGGTTACTTAAATGGCGAAGATCATCAAAATTGTGGCTTAACCAGACCATCAAAAACATGCAAAAGCACAGTCTATTAACCATTTTTCTCAGACTTGGAGGGATGTTTCTTCAAGGTCTACCCCCTGCTTTTGGTGCTTAAAACGCTTTAAAGCTATGGTTTCCTGTACATGCCAAACCTTCACTCAATCTATTGACGGTCCAGGAGAGTCCCATAATTAATGTTTCGGCAGGCAAAAACCAGGAAGATCAACAGAAATTTTCAAATTCAACACATGAGTGGGTTTATCATACAAAATCCAATGAAACATGGAACATGTTTGGAGAACCTTGACACTATTATGGTTTATTATGGTTTTTATGGTTCATTGTGGTTCATTGAACGCAAACTTAAAGGAAACATGGAAGATCTTTGGACCTCAGGCAGGTACAATGGGCTGCCTGGTGAACCTTGTGAAGATTGGTGAATGTTTTACAAGGCTGTAGGTCGCCACCAGGCTGCAGATCTCCATAAGATCAGTTGATATCATGTTCATACATATGATACATTATATATATATTGTTTGATATATGGATACTGTGTTTATATGTAAACAATGTATAAATATACATACATACACACACACAGAGAGATATATATATACATATATGGACACTATGCTTATATAACTAAACACTGTATAAATATTATGTATATATGTACATTATATATAATACACAGTGCATAGATTCCAGATGGATAATATTGAAACATATACCAGTCATTGGATTTGACACACGACGCCCCACCTGCCACGTGGCGAAGGCATCGGCCCCTAGAAGCCCCACCAGTTGCGCTCCAAAGCTGCTGGCAACGCTCAGCAAAACCTTTCGCTGCCTGAGGCAAAGCCAGCCAGGCAGTCAAGGAGGCAGCCAGCATTGGGACTCATCCCCAAGATATCCCTCATGGTGATGATAAAAAATGATAAAAACCACCTGAAACGACCAACCCGCTCTGCACAATGTCTCGAACTTACCGTAAAAATATGTAAAAATGCCAACTTTTCAACATCTCCAGGGATCTTTGGAGTTCATGTCCAGTGTGGCCATGGCCGCCATGGCCCCGGCCTTCCATGGATCATGACAGCCTGGTGAGCACAGAAACCAACCACGAAGCGCAGAATTGCCACCTCCGGCGGCACCAATGGAGCCACAAATGGGGATCATTCTGGCAGGTTTTTTCAGCCATTGAACCGGCGAACTCAATGAATGTTCATGCGGTACTACTGAAATGTAGCATGTCGTTTTGTTAATATAATCTATAGCGATTTAAAGATCTGCTGACTGGAAGGCCAAAATTGCATTGAGCATTTCTATGACCCAAAAAATGAGCCCTTAGGCCCGCAGAGTTTGCGTTAAGTGCTTGCACTTATTTAAAAGAATGCTATGTCCTTTGCGCCCTGCCCGCTGCCAAAGCAACATGGCAACCCGCCAACATGCCAAACGCCACAATGACGCTTCAAAACTGCTGATGTTTTTTGGTTACAGCGAGCCAAATGGCCAAATCAAAGCCAAGCGGCAGTCACTGCTCCAGCGCCGCTGCTGGCAGCCGGTGGCAAGTTTGGCAATTGCCTGGCAGGGCTGCATTGTGAGGGGGCGGGCAACAATGATTAAAGGCAAAAGGGGACAAAGAGAGGAGAAGAAAGGAAGCAAAGGAACCAAAAAAGAAGTGGAGTGGACGAACACAAGAAGAAACAAGAGACCAACCAAAAAACAGCAAGAAAAAAACAAAGGACCTGAAAAAATCAAGACCGAAGAGAGAGCCAAGGAAGAAAACACGCAGCATAATCAACTTAGCAAAAGACCGGTCGGGTTTTTGTCTTAAGAAAAAAGACGGAAGCAAGAAAGAAAGAAATCAAGAAAGAAAGAACCAGGAAAGAGAGAAAGAGAGAAAGAAGGAAGCGCCTCCGAGGGAGAATCGAGCTCCTTCTTGTCCCCAAGTCCCTGGAACTGAAGTCCAGTCCCGGCACCAGCCGGACTCACGGAGGCTTCCTGCTCACAATTCTGCGGTTTCCCCTCTAGGCCTATGATTTCTGCCCGAACACAAGAAAACACGCTGGGCAAAGGGAATTCCAAAGGCTTGGCAAGTGACGAGGCCAAGCAAACGCTTTGAGCACCCGGGTCATGCCCAGGAAGCGGCGTTTCCAAATGTGCTACTTGGCCCAGCCAACATGCACTGCTGCACTCGCTTCAGCACCCAACCCCTGCCTCAAGCCCCGCAGAGACACTTCCTCAAAAACCACCATGTCCGTGACCATCAAATTGGTGATTTCTCCTTGTCACGTCCCGGCATTTCAGGAACATACAAACTAAAAAGCATGGCCCAGCAAACTGTCGTTTTTGCACAGATTCCCAAGCTACTTCCCGAAATCAGCAAATAAACCACCATGATTCAAGGATATTGAAGGATTAAAGCCTCACTTCTTGTCGGTTGCAGCCCTGTTTACCAGTATTTCTTCAGTCTGCTTTGTCTTTTCTTCTTGGTCAAGAACTGCTTCATTGGCGAAGTCCAATTTTTATCAGATTTTGGCGTTCACGCAACGCCTTGATGTTCAGGTTTACCGTCTGAAACCTTCTCCCCCAGGCCGTTTTGGTTCAAATCCCATGTTTTGAGCCTGATTTATCACATTTTATCACTGCAAAAACCAAGTGTTCTGGCAAGCTAGCTGGAAGTGGACGATTATCAGATGTTTTCATGGCTTAGGCTTAGGTGTCTTCCTTGTTGCTGGTTCATCCCACATCGTAAGGTTGGAAAAGCAATCAATAGACGGTTACACTGTACCCGCAATCAAACCTCATGGGTTCAAAATGGCTTAAATGGCTTTGGCTAACAGATGGATTCATTGCCCCCAAAACAGCATTTTTGGTCCATGGGATAAGGGTACCATCGCTTCTGGGTATCCGATAGCGATCCAAGCAGCTGATTAAGTAGTAGACCAGCAGGGCACAGAACCAGCTGAGCGATGCATTCAGAGTCTTCCATACAGCCTGCCATGGCGGCCATGGGGCCGACATGTTCCTGAAACATGCTGAAACCGTGTCAAGCCGTCAAGCCTATTGTCGAAACATCTCTTTTCGCTGGGTGAGACACATCACCAGGTGGTGCACCATAGCTAAGCTGGTTTCTAACTAGGATTATGGATTGTAACAATTATTGTTTTGTAACTGTAGTTGGATGAGCTTTAAATTATTTAAACCAACAAACAGGGCACCTCGTATAAAGTTGGAAATCATGGCCTATGTGTGCGAATCTTAACCAACAACACGTTCAGGGTGAGTCGTAATCCCAGCTGGGAGAAATTCAGACCCTGAGACCCAGCAACTTCGGTGGAGCGACTTCGCCAATCTTAGCCCCCCAAGATTGGATCATTTTGTCAGTTGCTATACACCCCAGTTTAAACAAAAATAAAGGACTAAAATACCCAAGGTTGACACAGGCAAGAGGCAATCACACAGAAACCTAGCATTCAAGTAGTTTGGGGATGTTTGGGGCATGTTGGGTTCAGGATCTTGCCCCCGTAAAATCTCAAACCCAACTGCGGACGAATGTACATACGACATTGTAGGACAGGACATTTCTCTGTTGCACACTCAGTAGTTTGAGACCACTGCAAGTTACAATTGCCAATTACAATTTGTATCATTGCTTGGATGAGCCAGTCTGAATCCAGCCTCATCAAAACTTATTGATATCTTCACAAAATGAACGCCATATCTTGGCTACTCTCAAAATCACGCTTGCTCTTGGGTAAATCACCACAGTTCGATGTGGAAAAACCACCGTGTCTACTCGAGCGTAGATCATGTTCCAAGCGGGAAACCCCGGCTTTTGCAGCCGATGTTTTTCAGCCGCTGTCGCCCTGTCGCCCTCGTTGCCTGCTGCATTGCACTGTGCAGCAAACAGAAGAGGCCCGCAAAACAGGTGGTTATCCCCATGATGATGGTTGCGGCCGCCTCAGCTCGTCATGGCAAACACCACGCGACCAAGCGACCAAGCCCGATGGCTTGAAGATTTGGATCTTAGGATATCTTAGGGCACCCCCAAATTTCACGTCACTCATCATTTCACTAACTATTCAGTGGCCGCTTCATGAGTATACCATGTTTTTGGACGGATCCGAGTATCATTTTATAATAAGATGTATCATACATCCCACTCTCTATATCTCAACAGAATTTATTCCACGAAAATTGCTTTAAGCTCTACCTATATGTAAAATATACAATTGTTATATATATATATCTGTGTGTGTACGTGCGTATTTTACATGTATATATGTATAGATATAACATTATATAACTGTAGCGTAATTAGTCATGTACAGTAGTGTCAATATTCATACAATGTGGGCCCCCCCAGTGATGTTTGTTGGTTTATGAACGTTATCAACTATAGTTATTTGCGTATCATAAACCGTAGTTATTGGAGTTATGTTCACCAACTTAGCTATCATCAATCAGCTACAAATCCCATCAAATCATATGAAATCCCCTTGTTTGTTGGTTAAATCACCATGTTCCGATGAAGTAGGGGCCCCTGGCATCTTCCAGGCACACGTGCCCAAAAGGCCAAGGCGCCGATGCCGTTTGAGCGGTGTAGACCACAGTTGGGGGCCCAGAAGCCTTGATCGGAGATCCCACGGTGCTATGGTGATTTGGGTGGTTCTTTTTGTAGCATTTGCAAATCATCCCCTTCCCCAACATATTTTCATAAACTGGGATGTGTTAAGTGGTTCGATGCGGTCTAACATGCTAAAAAACCATCAAAAATTGGTGATGTAATGGAATGTTAGTGGTGATATTTTGGGATATTCATGCCGATGTAATGGTTTTTAACGAACCAACAAAAGGGCAATTCAGCCCGTCAACACCCCAAAGAAACCATGGTAGGGAGTGAAAACACATGTTTGGTGCGATAGAATGGAGGTGTTTATTAGGGGGATGGGATTGTGCACTCATACATATCTAAGATTCTCCCTCTATATATTATATATATATTATATATAGATATATACACCCCAAATGAGTTCTATGGTTCTACATGTGAAGCCTACATTTTATGGGTCAAATCATCCAAAGCAGGGGTCACATAGGTTCTGGGCATATATGGAAAAATGAACAGTTTTATACGGGCTATGGAAAATAAATGCAATATATGGGCAATATAAAACATCACTGGACATTGTGCCCACTAAACCAGTGGATAAACTCGTGGTAATGAACATTGACAAACCACTTGCCACTCCTTGGATGCACATTCAGGTCCAGGTATAGAAGGTCATACCACTTGCAAATTGGATAAATGTGCTCTCTATGATGGATTCTTTACGGGTTCAACATTGATTTTGGGACTATGGTCTTTCAAATCCTTTCAAAGAATAATAGAGAGTACTCTGTTTGGCCATTTCAGGATTCATTGTAGAGCTTAGCTACTGGCTTCCATGTGCCATTTTCCACTATAAAATCACTGGGGGAGACCTTGAAACAACACGGTCTCCAATATGGCTTCCATCGACCCCAGTTGGCTCTATGGTCTGCCTCTAGGAGGCCCGGCGGAGAACGGTTCTTCAGCGGTGATCTTCGCTTTTTTCCGCACCTCTTCCCAGACCCCAGAGGTACTGTCGAAGTCGCCTTAAGGGCTGCAGGCGACTGCTTGTGATTGGCCTAAAATGATATGATCAAAGCCAAACCACTAATCCCAAGCAAGCGTAAATGCCAGAATCCATCCGAATCCATCCGAATCCATCCGAATTCATCCGAATTCATCCCTCTAAATCTTCAATTTCTATAGCTTTGGAAAATGGCCCATTTCTAGGTGATTTACCTGTATATTAAGAATGGTGTTTTTTCCATAGCTATGTTTGAATTTCCGGTACCATGCTTTCAGCCGAAGAAATAGGAAGACCAAGCCAGTGCCGTCCTAAAAGCTAGCGCCCGTCATGGAGCCGGGAGACATCAATCCAGTTCGCTGATCCAACTTAGCTATCGTTCCGGGGCCCACTTTGTAGCATCCAACTGTGGAATTTCTAAAGAGCAAACTCAACCCAGGACAAGTCAATTTCCCGTTGGTTTGGGGAAGTACCATATCTTCATCGCCATCACAAAACGCTCCCCAGATCTCCTGAATTGGGGTGTCTTGAACCGCTATTCCGCATGTCGACCTCCGATCTCCGGCTCACCTCAGATCGCCTGAAAAACATGCCAAATAATATCAAATCACATGCAACCCTGAAACATTTAGCTACTATCTATAGTCTCTATATGTCAATGTCTCTATAGTCTCTATATCACCATTGATCTCCCCCAAAAAAATGATGCTTTGCCCAGTGGCTGGTATTGGATGGCCCAGCCTCTGCCTGGAAGGCCGTTCGACAAAAAAAAACATGGAAAAAATGGAGGTTTCACCCAGCCAAATTAGCGATTTCATGCGATTTCTCAACCATGGAAACTGGGTGTTCAACTCGAAAAAAGGGACTTTCATGGAATTTTCAATGGGATTTTCTCCATCAAAAGGGGATTTTCAATGTGATTTTCTCCATCAAAAAATATGGATTAAACTGATTAAAGTGCTGCATGGGATATGAGTTCCCCTTCACCGTCATCCTGCGGGATGCACGATGCGCGTCTCGGCGTCTCGGCGTCTCCCCATGTTGCGGCTTCATCTCCGTCGTGGCTTCAAATCCATTCGCATGCATACATTGCGCATATGAATATACATATGCATATACAATGTATATATATATATATACTGTGCATATCATACATAGATAGCGCGTGATATCACACAACTATATATCATAAGTCCATAGTCTACAGTGTCTACAGGAACCATCTTGTCATGATCCACCTGTCTTACATCCTCTATAGTCAAAAAACAGTTGCCATGCTTAGTTACATCAATAAGATCGCAATGTTCAAAACCCTCTATCAGTCTGTTCTACTGATTGGTTGATAGGGATTCCCATGAATGATGAGAAGCCCGAAGATGTCGGATAGTCTAAGCGAACCAATCATTTCATTTCACCAACCAATCAACTAGCATTTATCATCTATTCATCCATTCCATGATATCCCCCTGTTACATTGATGCTTAAAACCCAAAGCCACGGTAGTAGAATCTCCACTCTCCTTTCATCACCCGCTGCTGCGCAGCCACTACGATCCTCCACCCAGGGCCTCTTCCCGACTCGCCAGCGCTTCTTTCCTGAGGAGCTTCGAATCCAATGTCAGATGCCGACCCGCAGCATCCACCTGCGCAGGACATCATTGGGGGGCAATCTCACCGTAATTTCAATGCAAATGGGTATGAATACGTGTGTAAATCTGTCCTTTCATATTTACACTTATAAATACTTATAAAATGTTAGAAACATATAGTAGGCATGTGTGTGTGTGCGTGATAGAAAGGCAGGCGTGAGATACACTGTGTTGCTTCAATCCTGGTCTTGGCATCTTAAGAGCTTGAAACAGCTGCCTGCAGGTAATCAAACCTAGCAATGTAAAATCATGTAAAATCCACGAGTCACAGATGTGTTTTCCGGCCTAAACATTGAGCTTTCCCGTCGCCGGGTTTGATGATTTTTTCGGGTTTTGCTCGCCATTCCCAGGTTCTGTCCATGAAAAGCCCCCATCTTTGCACCTCATAAGCCACGTAGGCGACTGAAATGCTGGGACCTGTACAAAAGAGGGATCTGAAGCTGGAAAAGCTCCACGAAAATGGAGAAAGGGTGGCAATGGTGATGTTTATGTTGATGTATGTTGATGTTGTTGACAAGGATGATGATGCTGATGATGATGATGATGATGTTGCTGATGTTACTCATGTTGCTGATGATGCTGATGATATTGATGTTGCAATGTTGCTGATGTTGCTGATGTTGCTGATGTTGCTGATGTTGCTGATGTTGCTGATGAAGATGAATGGTGATGATTCCTGGTTGTTGATATCCAATGTCTGGTGTTTTTAATGTCTGAAACCAAAAAGAAACTGGCGCCCAGATACAAAGTCCCACATAGACGAGGCATGGCAGCGTCGTACCGAAGCCTTGGCTGATCCCAACGCACCCAGGTTTTTCGATGGAAAAATGTTGTTTTTTTTGACCATAGAAATGACGTGAAATTGTCATTTTCCATAGAAAAATGACGCAATTCCATTTCTAGGTTTTCAGAACCATTTCCCTTCTAAGTTTTTTGGACATTGAAATTGCTGACCGAAAAAAAACTTAGAAGGGAAATGGTTTCAGACATGGTCCTATCTTTTCCACCCTGTATCTGGCTTCTTGGAGATGGAGCTATCCCAGCAATGTTAACCACCTACAGGACCTACAGCTGATGCAAGTGACTAAAGGTGCCTGTTCCAGGCAGAGATACAGAGATACAGAGATGCACCGCAAGATCGCAAGATTCAGCCCCAAGATATCATGTCATGACATATTCAAGCCAGCAAAATTCTAGCATCTGGCTCTACCCAACACCTCCTGCAGCTTGGACACTAAACATGCCTGCGAAAATGGAACCTGCGGCCGGAGTCAAGGAAGTCTGAGTGGGATTGGAAGCCACTGATAGCCATTGCAATATGGCAGAAGGGGTAGGACTGGGTAGGAGCTGAATCTGGAGAGCATACAGCACCGCTGTGCGACCAAAAAGTCGTCAGCCCGGCCAAGGCCTGAACTTAGATCCACGGCAGGGCAGGGCGCGGAATTTCACTCCCCTGCCCCATGTCTTGTGCCGCTGAGAGCCAAGAAAAATTGCCATGGCCATCCTAAGCCTCCGTCTCAAGTTTGCGTAGTCATCCCCAGATTGTCAACCACCAATTTATGGTGTAATTTAGGGCGGTTCCGAAAATAGGGATGAACTACGATCAAAATTGGCCCTTCTTGCTAAAGCGGGTTGTTGTTCATCCTTATCTAACATTAATTAAACTTCGAATCATGAATCACCATAAGTTCTCCATGTTCAACCGCAAAGCCGTGGAAAAAAATAAAATAAAAAATAGGCAGGGTTCAGGGCGCATATGTTTGTATGTTGCTTGTTATGATTTTTAAGTTGGGGTTCAACGTGTCATGCTTGGCTTTGATGTTTTTTTTCAGGTGGGGTTTGGGGGAAGATTTGGTGCTCAAGTGATGTGTCAACGTGAGGGGGATAATTGTTGGGGTTGTGCGGGCTTTATGTTTGTGTTTGGGTAGGTGGGTGCTTCATAATATATTGTTAAGATAGTATGAATTAATCATCAGGTTCAGCGTCTCCGCTTTAATAATCTTCACGTATTCCATCCCAATGTTCAGAAACAATCTCCATCCAGACCTCGTTGGTCAATCAAATGCTTCAAAAGCTGACAACTGTGTAAACGAGTAATAGTTTTGTTGTAATGCTGTCGTTCCTCCTTTTTTTTGGTGTATTCTCTCACTGTGTTTTCTTACTAAAGTATGATCAAAGAATATCAAAGATGTTTTCATTTTTTTCATATTGGTCGTGGTTTATTTCTCCATACTCTGCGTATTGGTCTAAAGGTTGTTCTTGAGCAGCAAGTCATTGGACACAAAATCAGGATGTGGATTTTCTTTTAGGAAAATCATAAATCTCCCTCCATCTCTTTGTAATTCTTCCTCGCTCACTCCAATCACAGTCATTTTTCTCTTACGCTATATATATATATATATATGTTTCTTTAAGTAAATTTGGGGTCTGGTTCATTTATGAATTGATCTTTTTATGCTCTCCAGTTTCCTATTCAATCCCACCAGTGTTCAATCACTTCATTGCAATTGATTACAGAGTTGCATTGTATTTCCCATCACGGTTGAGTTCTTTAACACAATCAAGGATGACCTTTTTATCCGTGAGGTTTTCATACATCTTATAATGTCAAACCTCACAAATGAAAAGATTCTCGCAGCATTTACTCCTTCGGTGTGTTGAGAAATCTGTCAATTACTAAAAAAAAATCTGTCTCCTTCCTCATGGTGAAGGCCCATAGGATCGCAATTATCTGTTTTCTGTCCCAGTCATCGCCCTCACTATAAAACTACCAAGGTCAGCAAGAAAACACCAGCCAATTTCCTATTTATATATATATCCAAATTTTCAATTTATACTCTGGGCATTTTCTCTTACTATATATATAGATATTCATCTTTTCTTGAAGTAGTTCTAGGCTTTTATTCAGTTTCCGGGTTCAGGTTGGTTCTTATTTTCCCGTTCCTCCTCCTCTTCAAGTTCCTTTATAACCATATCAATTTCGCTCATTCCTTCATTAGGGTCTTGTCCAATCATCTTTCATCATTCATATACTTATTGTTTGCTTTGCCTCCTTATGACCCACTTGACACGTTCCACCCTTTAAACCTCTCTCAATAATTTCATACATCTTTTGGTCAGTAAACGGTTCCAACACCACTCCAATCTTTAGAAGCATAGCATCCAAAGCAAAGTAGGAGGGGTGAAATAGTATGAAATAGTGGGCAGGCTCGAAACCGCACTATTCCAAACACAATTCCGCGAAATTTTCAAAAATGTCAGGGAGTAAAAGAACATCAGTTCTCAAGTACAACTCACCAAAAATATCCCCCAAAACCCGAACCGAAAAAAACCTTGAAAACCAAGGATGACACCTTGAACCACAACGTAAAGTCATAACAAGCAACATACACAACAAATATATACGCCCTGAAACCCAACTTTTCCATTTTTCTTCTGCGATTTGAATCTTCGGTTCCTATTCACTTTATAACTAGTTATGTGGGTTGGCTTATGTTCACCCATATCTAAACTAGGGTTGTTTCATCACCACAAGCCGTAGCCAACCTACTTATAAACCAACTTAGCTATCATAAATCACGTGTTAATCCCAATTTTGCTATGAAACATGCCCAATTTTTAGTGATTCGACCACCTTCACGGTTGCATCTGGGGATGCGTCTGCAACATCCCGGGCCCCAACAACCCGAACTTTTCTCGCTGTTCCCCGCTGGTCCTGCCAAGACGCGGCCAAAGCTCGGGGAAGAGAAACAAAAATGGGGTTGAAAGGACAGAACTGGGTTTTTTTTGCAGCAAGAAGATTGAACCAGGAAAAATTATGGAAAAAAAATGTGTTGGAGCAATAAAAACGGGGATTGAATTAGCAAAAATAGGGATACAGCTGGCACAAGCCACCAGAATTGCTTGACTTACACCTCGCTGATCAAACCTGGCTGCCCCTCTATCGTAAAACCCATGAGAAACGAATTGTTCAGAGGAAACCGCCTGAAGCCCCAAAAAAATGGACATCTTCCTGGTTTACCAAAAGACACAACGCACCACTGCACTAAGATTTTTTCCAAAACATCTCTGGTGATGTTTTACCTGTCGCCAATGAACATTCCCATCCTCCAATCTGCCATGATCAATGGATTGGTTTACGGAAAAATTTACAGGAAAACCCCATATTTAATGGTAAAAACCATGGTTTCCTGTAAATTTTCCCTTAAACCAATCCATTGACATGAACGTTTCAGAAGTGTTTTCCATTGAAAATCTTCCAAAATGATGATCCACCAAGATTTCGCCTCACCGCGCAGTGGCAAAAGTCCACATCGCCTCCCTGGGAGCGTCGCGCCTGGAGATTGGTGGAGCCCCATGTGGGATAAATCTGGTGGATCAAAATGGATCAAATGTCCATCTGGCAATGGAGAATCCCCTATAAATGGAGGTTTAATTGGGAATATCATCTAAAACTGGTGAGCTTTCCATTGCCAAGTTTGATTCCGGTATAATAAGGATTCCATGCCCCCAAGAATCGATACTGCAAACGACTATTGAACCAGTAGGGGGTCAACACCTCATATGTGCGACGGTCAAAACTCAATTCATGTGGTGAGGTCATGGCATCGCTTCATAAGGCCCCCTATCGCTACACACAGTCCCAGCACCCTTTTCACCAACTAGGCAGAATTGCTGCTAGAAGAGGAGGATCCAGATGAGGACTCGGATTCTTATTCCCCTTGCGATGGTGACTCACTGCAGGTCATCTGACCTCGGAGGCTGCCCTTGGCTTGTGTTGGCTTGTCTTGGCTTGTCTTGCCTGTGCTGCCTTGTTTCTGGCGCCTTTTTTTCTTCACCCCGCCTCCTTTGCAACCTAATACCACGCCAAAATGAATCGGCAAAACCCTGACCAAATGAACCCTTTAAGAATTAACCCAGTAAGAACTTGAGGGTACCCTTGTTCATACTTCCCATATTTTTCCACCTATAGCACAAGTTGTATAGTTTCAAGTGGCCATGTGGGGTACTCCCTAATTTCATGGATTTCAGGTATCGCTCTGGGTATCGAGGGGTATCGCTTCGGGCATCGCTACGGGGACCAGAAATTGTGTGATCTCAGGTGTATGTTTCAAGTGACACGAAATTCTGACAAGCTCCATGTTGCAATTCTACTCCTGGACAGTGGCTTTGGAGAAGCGTCCGTGACCGCACAAGGATGCTTTTTCAACATATCTCAGCACGGTCACTATCTGAATCAACATCATCACCATCACCATCATCATCAGCATCATCACCATCATCAAGCTCATGATGCGTTATGAATTAGTTTCTTGCATACCTTATAGATCAACATACCCCAATATATCAATATTGTTTAATGTAACTATCTCATATATACTTGACGACAGGCCATCTTGCAACTACCCAGGAAGACCAGCCCACTGCGACTGCTCCAGTGTCGCACTCTGACATCAAAAGATTGGAAAGTCATGCGCCCAACAGGAAGCTTCAATCATAAACAAAGTCTAAAAAGAGGTATCGCTACATAAGGCCCCCTATCGCTACACACAGTAAATCACATATTTTGAGTAGTGATGGCGGATCGTAATTGAAGCCTTTCATAGCGTCTTTTGACCCTTGCTCATATGGGATTGACATGCTGAACTGGGATGCTGTTGGCGAAATCCCCTTCAACTCTTTGGAATATGCTTACCGCTCATGTTTTTAGGCTTATTGCATGAACTTGATTTTGTTGATAAAATCCCATAAATCATTACTGCCTCTTTGAAAAATGAACTTCGATTTGGGAGCATTGCTCATCACCCCATGTTGCCTTGAAAAAATATCACCAAAAATCATTTTTAGGGACCAGATACATTGCCTATGAACACTACCATACCCATCTCTCCCCACATGTCCTGTGATTCACCAGTAAATCAAAGGTACGGGATCCCATTCAAGCGAACCAACTCTGAGAGTTGGCTTAAGACAAGGTATGCAGCATGGGGGTCTCTTAGCTAACGATCATTTTCGTTGGGGTTCCCCATGGTTGTTTTCCATGTCTCAAACGCAGCCCTCAACAAGATAGACAACTAAAATCTGACCAAAATAGTGGTAGACTAGACCTTTTGTAAACTTTTTGGGGCTCTTAAAACATGGGTTTGCCTTAAGAATAGGGTACAGTACCCACAAATGTGATGGTTTATCACTATGTTCCTGCCCTATGACTACCATTTTAAGTGTGTTATGATATCCCATTTTCAGACACATCCATATATAACCTCCTTGGCCATACATATCCCCTATTATACCCACCCATTTCTGGTTGGTACTAGACCCATAAGCGTAATGTAATTTTAGGAATGATAAAGCATCGATCAATCATAGTCTTTGGAATTATCAATTTTCAGTCGAACCCATGATATAATTAATATATTTATATATACACAGTATATTATATCTCATGGGTTTGTTTGAGAATTTGTAAGCAGAATCCACTGGTTCATCATCTTCCCCATTTTTTTGCTGTTTTGGATAACAAATCCATAGAAATCCACTATTCATTAGGTCAAATCAACGATTTCAGGTGAAATCCCACTCAATCACCATGGTTATTTCTTCAACTCCCATTTAAAAAAATCCATCGGCGCCGTGGCCTGAATCAAGCGCCAGAAACACCCAGCACTCTCCGGATGAAAACCTCGGACGTTGGCGATATATCCCATGTATTATCCCATGTGTTCCCTCATGTTGGTGGATTTTACACCCCAAAGTTCTAGGGAAATGTATAAATCCTCGTGACAATCCCAGGTGTGGATGGGAGTTCAAGATCCACAAGGCTAGCGGCGATGCATCACCATCAACGGCACTAGGCCACGCTTCGGCCCTACACAATGCTCTTCAAAGTCCTCAGGATGCAGAAACGCTTGGGGAAACTGCAAAAGAGCGCGCTGAGTTGCCAATTTGGGAGCCCAGGGTCCAGCGGCATGGCTTCCTTCCGCTGGTGCGGCACCACGCGCACCTGACGGCATCGGGACCGAAAGAAAGGGTCCAAGCAAAATGACCATGTTTAGATTATATACTTGGATTTGCTTTAAATGGCCCCAAACAGTTAAACAATAATTCCAGGAGGTTCCCGAAAAACTGTGGGTTTTGGATTGGAATAATCAAGAATCACCTTCATGCGGGGTTCCGTGTTTGGCTGGCCGTGGGGGAAGTGTCTAGCGAAGTCTTCCCATAGACAAATGGCATATCGGCACATCATTTCCAAGCATGGTTGCATATGGTTGCTGACAAGTTACTACCTTGGATGATCATCTAGAGAGGAGATCGTCAGATGGTACACCATCCCTATGGATCTGCATTCGCAACCAAAAAAACATACCCCCTCAAGCCCTGGCAGTTTTAACCACCAGGACAGGAAAACACCATACACTCACAACCCACAACATGAGCAAGGTAGATGGGCAGAAGTTTTTTCATTAAAAAAATACTGAGATCACATCATCTCTCTCCCATCATCTCCCATCTATTAATTTACAAATGAAAACGAACATCGGAACCCACAATATTGGCGGAAATGGTTCAGTGCGGCAGCCGCATCTTTCTCAAAGGTCTGGTCTCCGCCAAGGTGGTCAGCCCCAGATATATCAGTGGTTTTCAACCCCACGCATCGATATATCTGCCATAGTTGCCATAGTTGCCATAGCTCATAGCTGACCAAGGTATCATAAACCATAGTTGCCATAGTTCATAGTTGCCACAGTTGCCACAGTTGCCATAGTTCATAGTTAACCAAGATATCTAGATGTATATAGTTCAACCAGCTGAACAATGGGGGCATCGCCCTGAGATGCCCCCGCTCTGTGTGGCCTCCCCACGTTTGGCCAACTCCAAGAGATATAAACCTCGGTGAGCGGGTTCCGAGGGCTCCAACTCATGGAAAAAACCTATGAAGCCATGGAAAGATCCACCAGTTTTAATAGGTAAACCCAGGAAAACCATCTATAAATGGGCCATCTATACCATGGCTATGTTAAATAACCAGAGGGTATCAAATTTTGAGTTTTATCCAATCAATCACAGGTGAAAATTCTGTTCCCCACCATTCCTCCACCCTTTCTCTTGAGCATCACTGAGTGGGTGAAGCCATGGCCACTTTCCAGCCAGCCTGCGGGTTTTACCGTAGGTCTTACCGTCAATTCCTTGGGTTTCCTGAAGATTTTCCCATGGCTTGTTCTGGGCATCATCTTTCTGTCCGGTTTCTTGGATGCAAAACATCCATCAAAATCCGCAAGCCGCAAGCACACCTTCTTTACAGCAGAAATTTCACAGCAAAAATTCGGTGTCTTCCGGACAACTACCCTCTGGTAAACTAACATAACTATGGAAAATCACAATTTTCAATGGGAAATTCCACTATAAATGGTAAAATGGGCCATTTTCCATGGCTATGTTAGATTACCAGAGGGTAGACAGCCATCTCATCCCCCAAAAAAACCTGACTCAACAGCTCCTGCGGACTTCAGATCCATCCTAGGTCTTGCCACCAAGAGACCTACGGAGACATCTTCCCTGTAGGGAAAGGGTTCCAAGCGCCCCTCGGCCAAGGCAGCTCCCAATGGCAAAACCACATCCTCCGACAGGGCGTATGCCATGCCGCGTGCATAGGGAGGGTAGTACCTGCAGCCAGCGTCAGGTTGACACTCTGAGGGGAGTTTTATTCAGAACTGATAGTTATTTACACGCGGATTCGCCTGTCTAAAGTTACATTCTTCAAGTTTACAGCTGGTGGATGGACGCCTCAATAGTTTTGAACTGGTAGATATGCCCAAAGTTGGTTTTTAGCTGGGCATGAATTCACAAGTTTGCAACTGATCGCTCAAAGTTTGCTTGTGAACCTACCCAACCAAGGTTTTTCCTATCTGAGTTACACCCCTGAGATCTACGAACAAATCTGGCAAGGGCCAAGATCAAAGATGGATAAGGCCACCAACAAAACTTTTGAACCCAAAGATCTGGAAATCTTGAAGCCTATAAAATGCTATAAATTTATACATCATCATTCATCCATGGTAAGAACAGTCTAAAAAGATATAGTGATCAGTCATCTTTGGCGCTTGTACCATCGGCGCCATTGGGCCCATCAAAATGGTTTAAGATGAACCGGGACGCAGCTGGGGTTACCATTTTCTGCAAGTTCCATGTTGGATTTCAGATGTGAAACCAGAGAAGGGCTCGGAATCCATGATCAAACATGGTTTGCTGGAAAATTCCTCGTTTCATGATGCTCCCAACTATACATCTCGATTTACAGTCCGAGCACTGTATAAGAATTCCTTGTATAAGAAAATGAGGGGCTGTTTTTTTGCCGCATATATGTTTTGTGGAATATATCCTGCATGATATATATATATATATGCAAATGGAAGTTAAGAAATTGAGGGACCCTGAAATTTAAAAGGCTGAGAAAATTAGATGTATGTGAAGGAGCCCCTTTGCGCCCCTGCCCAATGTTCTTAACCATGAAAAGGTTTATAAAGATTCTATTTGGAGCGGGAAATGGAGCCAGCCTCCCTTGCAACCAAACACCCGCCAAGATGAACTTTGCACAACCACGGCGTGGTTGGGAATGATAAGCAAGGGGGGAGGACCAATCCAGATTCGAATCACAACATGGTCACCAAGACCAGACACCAGCCAGACACCAGCCAGACTCACTCTAGGTCATCTGTACCCTTGGCTCCTGTTGCCTTGGCTTGCCTTGGCTTGCCTTGCCTTGCCTTGCCTGCGCTGCCTTGTGTAGAGGAGACGTCACCGAGCAAGGGTTCAATCCAATACATAACTAAGAAATCCAGCCCCCAATTTCTCAACCATGTAAGGGTTTATAAGTAGAGCCTTGTGTAGAGGAGACGTCACCGGGTAAGGATTCAACCCAATACATAACTAAGAAATTCAGCCCCTAATTTCTTAATCATGTAAGGGTTTGTAAAAGTTTTCTGTAGAGGAGACTCTAACTGTTCCTTTGTGCCCAGGAGCCACTGGGAAGCGGCGCAAGGATGGCGGAGTCAAACTCACGAAAGGAGCTGCGCAGAGGCAACCCCGCTCTTACATCTTCAAATCTGACTGCTTGTGAAATACTACATTAAGAGCTTGCTAAGAAATTAAGGGACCCTCGACCGAATAATTGTACATATGTACTGACATACATGGGGCCTTTCCGATAAGAAATTGAGGGACCCTGGCCATCGGCAACCAACATTCTTATATAATGATCGCGCTGTAGTTCAAAGATTTCCCATTGCCTTCGGGGTAAATCCCCAGCCCATCGATCCGTCAAGGCACGGCATGGGATAGACCTGGCGTTGGATGAATTTGGTGGAAGTAACTTGGAAACAAGGGCCCTGGGTTTCTGGTGGATCTATTGTAATCTCCCTGGTTCATCCTGGTTCATATTAAACACCTCTATTCTACGGTCTCAAATATGTGAGTTCATCGCCCCCAAGAAAAAAACAAAACATGGTTTCGGGATGTTTCGGGGGTATACTGTATTTAATATGAAGATATATGGATCAAGAAGTTCCTCCCAGTCCCAGTTGTTGGACGATGGGAAAATCCACATTTTGCCAAGCAAAAGCCTCGCCTCATGTGGCACAAAGTACTTGTCCGACGCAATTCGGTTGGGCTCCACCAAAGCCATCACCTGGGTGGAGCAGCTGATTTCAAGGGTTTCATGCGTATATGGGTTATACCGTCCAGTGAAATATATGGGTTCTAATGTGGGTAAAACAATCATAAACCACCCATTTGGGAATGGTTTATACCACCTATTTATGGTGATGACTGGGGGATTGTTTATTATTGTTTTAACCACATTATATGGCTTATAAACCACCTAACTGAAATGCACATCCAAGTATGGAATTTCACTCCGATCTATAACCAAGATGGGCCCAGCGAAGGGCAATGATTGGGCTGTGATCCTAATTGTTTTTCTAATCCTAGTTGATCTTGGTAAAAATCATGAACCATCCATATTTTCATGGTTTATATTAGTTTATATTATCCATGTATGGTGATTTAGGGTTTGGTTTATTGTTGCTTTACCAACGTTACTGTAGTTGTCACCCCGGCTGGAATATCAATGGGTGTGGTAGTCGCCCAATCCTGGCGACTATAGCGAGTTGCCTCGCGAAATTTCCTGGGAAATCCACTGAAAGCGGGGGTTGAACCAAACAAAGATCGTGATATGCCAGGCATTTACCCTCGGTAAACATACAAAAAGCTATTGAAAATGGCCATTTATAGTGGGTTTACCCATTAAAAATGGGGATTTTCCATAGCTATGTTAGTTTACCAGAGGGTGGGAGTTGACTGGGATCATAAAGCCTCATTTGTGCAATGACCCTTTTTCTTGATATGCATTGTACTGGCTGGTCAATTAGGTTTCCCAGTTCATGACTTAAGGTAATCAACGTATTACTAGCTTGTAAAGCATCCAGAATTCTCATGGTATTTTGGGGGAACGTCTCATTTAGGTGTCACAAGAAAAACGGGCGGGAGAATGTTGCATAACCAGCATGGAGAATCTCATAGGGGACTGAACCCCTAGGACTTCGACTGACATGACTTATTTTGAAACTGCAAAAATCATATCCCAACGTATTTATGATAATTATTGATATATGATATAAGATATATGATATATGGCATATTTTATTATGTTTGTTATTATTATTATTAATTATTGTTATTATTGTTAGTATTATTGATTATTATTATTAATTATTGCTATTAATTATTATTATCAAATATTATTATTAAATATTGTTATATATTATATTACATTATATTATATTATATTACATCATATATTATATTACATTACATTGCATTATATTATATTACATTACATTATATTGTATTATATTATTAAATTATATAATATCAAATTACATTATATATATATATATATTATATCAAGTTATATTATATCTTAGATTATATTGTATTACATTACATTATATTATATATATAGGTACCACAGTTCATAGGATGCGATGCCGAATTGTGATGTGCAACCATGAATCATTTTTCCCGGAAAGCCGTCCCGATCCATCACCAAGGCGCGTGCCCCCATAGCAGTCCTGGCGATCTGGTTTTCCCATGTTTTCTCAAGCTGTGCACTCGCAAAAAAACATGGCAACTCTAGAAAAATCGGACCACCCGCTGGAAATCCCGTTGAGAAATGAAATGATCTACAAACCGTCGATCGTCTGTATGTATGTGTTATTTTGCTGCAAGGCTGCAAGGTAGTTTTGCCCTTATCCTATATATATATATACACATAAGACAGATTGATAATTGCCACACCTCGTTGTGTGCCTACCTAAAGACCCGACGAATTGAACCACAAAGATGCCTTGTTCGCTCCGAGCAATTTGTCACTTCACAGCATTTCTTTCCGAAAAAAAAAAAAAAACACAGTTCACCAGCGATGTTTCCCCATGGGAATTCTCCGTGGCGCCACCATGCGGCACCCTGGCGCCCAACCCTCCTACGGGCGCACTGGCCATGAGGTTTACAGTGATGCTATCAATGTCCAGGAAGGCGTCATCGTCGCCTGAAAAAAGAAATCGATCGCGAAGGGTCACCCTGCTGGATTAGAATCAGAGGCGGGTTGGTTGAAAAAAACAGGGTGATGTCACATGGATTTTAACCGCTTAACCGTTTGAAAATCGTCATTTCGCCACCAAGAATAGGGATTGAACCAATGAATATTGGATCAAGTGTGTCCAACAACGGGAAAACGATGATCAACCATCGAATTTTGGGGGACCCGGGGACCCTATTTTCAGACCAACCCAGTTGAGAGAGCAAGCAAAAGCAGCCCCCGTGATTTCAGGGTAGGGGGGGTCACCACCACCCCCCCCCCCCAGACACCTTCTGGGGTAGGGGGGGGTCACCACCCCCCCCCCCTCCCTGACATCTTCTAGGGTAAAGAGGGTCAGCACCACCACCCCCCCACACACCTTCTAGGGTAGGTCACCACTTCCCCCCCCCGCGCATCTTCCAGGGCAGGGCGGGTCACCACCTCCCCCCCCCCACAAACCTTCTAGGGTAGGTCACCACCTCCCCCCCCCCGCACACCTTCTAGGGTAGGAGGGTCACCACCAACATGCGAGGGAGGGGGGGAGGTGGTGATGTGACCCCCCCCACCATGACATGCGAGGGGGGGGGGAGGTGGTGATTGTGACCCCCCCCCCATGACATGCGAGGGGGGGGGGGAGGTGGTGAACCCCCCCCAGCCAGAATCAGGGACAGAATTTGGTGCACTATCCCAACCCATATGTAAATCGTTTGAGATGGGACCTGGCAACCGCCACAATTTATATAATTCGGTGACTATTTGGGTGCCTTGACCCTTTTCAAGGGTTGCCTGCACGCTTGAGGTGGGAAATACATCTTCCGGCGACCAAGTTTTGGATGTCTGTTGGCAAATCAACACGTTCAAAATCCAAAAATGGCGGCCCCTCCCAATGTTGCGTATCAAACACTGCGCGTGTCTCATGTGCATTGTCCACCTTCAGACCGCTGAAAGCAGCGGCCAAAGGTTATCAAAGATTACCTCAGGCCTCCATGAGATAAATTAGAAATCGTTGGAGGCCCAAGATATGGCTATGAGTCATAACCCTGGTACCTAGTGAACCACAAAACAGCTGGGATTTATGGATGTTCATCCCATTAAAATTGATACTAATAGGTTTTGACCCAGCCCCATATTCCTGGCGTTTGTAGCATTTTGTCGAGGGCAACTCCCCGTCAATCTCTGGGGTTTTCAGGCCCTTAAAGCCGCAATGCCAAGCTGCATTTGATGAGGAAACGCAGGCGCGAGGACGAGCTCCTTGGGACGAAACGAGGTGGAAAACCCCACGGTTTCCTGAGGAAAACAAGATCTACACCCAGTGGATGTTCCACATGTTCCACATGTTCCACATCTATGTTAGTATCATAAGTTATGATCGCCATAAACCTAAGTGAACTGCTGATGAATCAACCTATATATATATATATAGCGTCCAACCGCACGCCCACCACCTTACAGCATGTATCAATATTTTGCCATAGCAAGAGTACAAGCCGTATCTTGCACCCACAGCCATGAAGCATACCTCATTTTTTTGATCAAAAATGGGGTCGTCTGAAAATAGGATACCCTCTGGTTAATATAATCCAACCAGAAGCTATGGACAATTGCCCATTCGTCCCATTTGTAGATAATGTACCTATGAAAAGTGATGATGTGCAATAGTGCAATTTGATTACCAGAGGCTAATCCCAGTTCCAAGGCTAACCCCAGTTCCAAATTATATACCCTCCGGTAATCAAAGATGGCTTGCTGGAAAGTCCACAATGTAGTTCGATGATTTTCCCAGCTAGAAACCTCTATGTCACTATGTCTAGGGAAATTCCCATTGCATCCCATTACTACCCGGAGCGTATCATCAGCCCATGGGGCCCATGACACTTCGACCAAGCTTCGCGGGCCCGTGCAGGCCACGGCCCTGTCAGGGGATGTGTTCTCAAGGCCCAGCACTACATCTGCAAAATCTTTATGAAATCAACAAATAAATCCCGAGGAAATCTCCAGCTTACACTAAGTTGTGCCACATTTGCCAAGCATTTTCGGTCGCCTTCAGTCGGCACGATTGTGGGCAAATATCTTTACATCCTTGCCCCCTAATAATATCTGAGAAAAATCCCCCTGAAACAAACCCTGGAAGAGTGCATCTATTCGGCCATTCGATATTACATGATGGATAAACCATGTTCAACCCCCCCCTTTTTTGATAATTGGGTGTAGAGTAGTTTTTGGATGTTTTTTTGCCTCAGGTTTTGTTTTTTTTGGCTTTCTTTCCCGGTACCATTTGCCTTGTATTTGCAACAGTTTGGAACTAGAACCTGTCATTTTGCATGGTATTATATTTGCTACATTTTGGCATGGTCACTTTGCATTTTGCATGGTATTTGCTACATCTGGCAATGTCCACCTTCCATTTTGCATGGTATTTGTCACATTTTGGCATTTCAACCTCTCATTTGCATGGTATTTGCTACATTTTGGTGCTTCAAACGTTCATGTGGGTCTCTTGAGGGTTCTTTAGGCTTTCATTTAGGGTTTCATTTAAGGTTTCATTTAGGGTTTCATTTTCGTTTTATTTAGGGCTTCATTTGGGGTTTCATTTAGGGTTTCATTTAGGGTTTCTTTAGGGTTTCATTTGGGGTTTCTTTACGGTTTCATTTAGGGTTTCTTTAGGGTTACGGTTTCTTTAAAGTTTCATTTAGGTTTTTTTTCCGGTTTCATGTAGGGTCTCTTATCGGGATTTTTTATCAGGAGTTCTAAACGTTCAAATGGGTTTCTTTAGGGTTTCTTTGGGTTTCTAGGGTTTCATTTGGGGTTTCAATTTAGTGTTTCATTTAGGGTTTCATTTTGGGTTTAAGGTTTCAGCTAAGGTGTCAGTTAAGGTTTCATTTAGGTTTTTTCAGGGTGTTGTTTAGGGTTTCTTTGGGATGCCATTTAGGGTGTCATTTAAAGTTCCTTGGGTTTCATTTATGGTTTCTTTAGGATTAATTTCTGGTTTCTTTAGGGTTCATTTATGGTTTCTTTAGGGTTCATTTAGGGCTTCATGTAGGGTTTCTTATCAGGATTTCTTTAAGGTTTCTTTGGGTTTCACCTAGGGTCTTTCTAGGGTTTCATTTAGGATACAAACAGAACAGAATAAAGCAAAAGAAAATGACAAACAAAGAGACAGTAAAGACAGGAAGGAAGTAGAGCAGCAAAAACACATGACTGAAGAAAAGAAAAAGTAAAATAGTAGAAGTAGAAAGGCACAGAAGTACAAAAGCAGAGAAGCAGGGAAAACAGAGAAGCAGAAAAGCAAAGAAGCAGGAAAAGCAAAAAGCAGAAAAGCAGAGAAGCAGGAAAAGCAGAGAAGCAGGAAAAGCAGAGAAGCAATGTAAGCAGAGAAGCAGAAAATCAGAGAAACATGAAAGCATAGAACCAGGAACCAAAAAAAACACAAAACCTGCCGCGAAAAAAAATACAAAAATAAATAGCCCTCCATAATTAAACACCAAATTTAAATATGAGGGGCATCAAATTGCCCAAGGCGATCATGCCTGGCCCCTGAAGAGGTCCGCGCCGAACTTCAGGATGGCCGCGGTCTTCAGCCAAATCACACCTTAACAATTTTGGTTCCATATGGGCATAAATCATAATTATAGCTTATATATTATATGCTTAACGTTTATCACTTATATAAACTTATATACCCTCCAGTAAATTAACATAGACCCTGGCAGAAAACGGGGTTGGAAGATTAGTTTCCATGAAAAATTGGTGATTTTCAGGGTCAACAAGTTAATTTACCAGAGGCTACCATGGGTTTCAATACTAAAATGCTTTAATGACTTGGATTTTAATAGGTAAACCATCTATAAATGGATCATTTTCCATGGCTATGTTAGTCATAACCAGAGGGTACCCTCTGGTAAACATACAAAAAGCTATTGAAAATGGCCATTTATAGTGAGTTTTCCCATTAAAAATGGTGATTTTCCATAGCTATGTTAGTCATAACCAGGGGGTAACTATAGGATATAAGCCAACCTGCCTGTCATATTTGCCATGACGCTGGAGGATGTTGGAGGTCGAAGAGCCGCTTTATGGTGATTCAATGGATTGGTTTAAGGGAAAATCTTAACCGGAAACCCATGGGTTTTTACCATCAAATTGATCGGGGTTTCCGGTTAAAATGTTCCCATCATCCAATTCTATGAGTGATATCATGTGTATCATAATTTGAATATCGTAAAATTTAATACACATGAAATTACGCATGTATAATGCATGCCGTCTGCATCTTAAACGCATGATTGTGGCTTGTAACCCCCGCTTGTTGCTACAAGTAGTATCATATGTATCTGCAAAGTTTGGGCGTAAATTGGACAAAACATATATAAAAGTGCCATGTTTGATGCTTTTCCCTTGGTGTCAACGCTTTCTGAAAGCTTGTTGGCCCTCAGATTCGCCGATTCGCCGAGCTGCTGAAATCCTCTTGCAGAGTTGGTAGGAGCCTCGGCCAAGATGAAGCCCTCGGGAAGAAAGATGCAGCAACTAAGATTAACTAAGATCACTATGGTATACTATGGTTATGGCTTGAAAAACGCCACAAGAAACAAGCAGCAGAGCGGCGAACCGATCTATCTGGGGGTTCGGGGGGGCCTCTAAGTTCATCGCCGTGTGCTCATGGTTTCAGTGAACTGTGGCCGTGAAGTGGTCAAAAATCCTAGCGAAATCGCAGGTGAATGCACCCTTCGATCCCTTTGTATTGAATGTTTCCACATCACACATGGACACAACCTTGGATACCCCTTCGAATGGATATGAAAAAATACATTTGTTGAGATCCAAAGGTATTTTTATGTCCACCCTTGGATATGCCATATTGAGAGATCCAAAGTTGATATTCCAATATGAGAGATCCAAAAGTTTCTCTTGGCATAAAATTGACCAAGCGACTCATCAACTGTTAATCCTGGCATAAAATTTCAGTGGCAAGTTCATCGCTGACACTTCCCTTAGGCACCACATCTCACACTTAGATGGACCATGCGTGGTTGGTTAAATGGTTAGTAACCTCGCAAAACATCTCACAATTAGACAAGTATAGGACCTGGATAAGTGGATTATTAAGCCACTGAACTCACAATCACTTAACTAACAAACTATTATTTCAATGAGAATTTCAATGGGAATTTCAAGATCTTAAATGGAGGTACTGTACCATATAAGGCCATATTTTCTGGGGATATTTCCTTACATAGGCCTTATATAGGCCTTATATATGGTAGGTACCTCCAATTTAGGTTCCTGAAATGGCCATTGATTATTGGTTACAGACCACTTAACTATGACTTACTAACCACTTAACTAACTACCCATGGCCCGAAGATATCGCCACGCCGAGCCACACTACGTCTGAGACTTCCTGGTGCTCTCTCTCTGCTGCCACGCCCTGACCCAGGAAAAATAGGACCTGCCAGCGACGCCAAGAAGCGACCATCAATGATGTGGAGTGGCTGCAAATAAGTGTCCCATAGTTTTCCAATAGAAGGTTGTTGTTGGGACACTTCTATTCCCAATGAAAATGGAGAATGGTGACATTGGTTTGTTGGAATTTCCCATAGTTTCCCAATAAAAGTTTGTTGCTGAAGAGCGGTTTCCCATTTTCAGACCAACCAATGTCACCATTCTCCAACTGGGTGCTGTACGCCAGCGCACCCCATTTTTACTCCAGGGCTGCCAGCTGCCTGTCGTGTAGGACAATCACCAAATACCTCACCTAATATGGCAAAGCTGATTGTTTCATAGTGTTTCTACAAAAAAATAATTGCACTGCTAAATCCACCGGCAAAAATATGTTTACCTAATCAACATAATGTTGGTAAAACAATAATAAACTTAAACCACCCCCAAATCACCTTAAATAAGTGGCATAAACCATTCCCAAATGGGTGGTTTAGTATTGTTTACCCACATGACACCACTGGTTGTGCCCCACGTATCATCCCAGAACCCGCCAGCGGTGCAAAAAAGAGACGCGAAGCAGCACAGCACCGAAGGGTGTGCGCAGCACCGGCTCACTGCCCCAAGTTGTCCGGATGATGTCTCGCAATGGTCCTTAAAATGGAGAAAAACCTGGGGACATGGACTCAGCTGGTGCTGGTGAAATCAGTGCTTACTGTATGACCCATCTATGACTGGGAAGTTGACTTGCTTTGGGTTTTTTATTCTGACTGCGAGGGCTCACCTTATTCGACATGACACAACTTAAAAAAACGACCAACGTTTTCACACGTCGGTTTTGGCCCATGTTCCCCTCATCAGGTCAGAGTGGCTGCCCCTTTCGCCATTCCAAGGGGCGGTTGTGCACTGATGAGGCGACGCAAATCACAACTTCCATGACGTGACTCTCAACGCTCTCGGTCGCAGCCTGCGAGTTTGGTTTACTTGGTGATGTTTTACTTTCCCAATAAGAAGTCTACCTGTTGCAGAATCGATAGGGGAATATGAGAAAAATATGGAAAATCCAACTTTTTGGGGGGTCTTAAGCAAAGACGTGTTTTTTGGCCACACTGAGGGGTTCTTACGGTAACACTTAAGGCCCGGTGTTCAATCGAGGTGGTACCCGGGGCGTCCGGCATTTTCCTGTAAATTTCCACACAAAATGGCTCTTGTGAATCTTGTGAAATGTCCATGTGCATTTCGACTGCGCATGCTCGCACAAAATGCTGGCCGCGGAGGTGTCCTCGGTCAATTTCCCTGTAGATTGCGCATGTCGCTTGCGCAGGCTCGCACACAGTGTGCTTCCCGGTCTTGGGATCGGTCTTCCTCCTCAACATCTTCCTTATCAGCCTCATCTTCCTCCTCCTCCTCCACATCAACATCAACATCAACATCATCATCTTCCTCTCCTCCTCCTCCTCCTCCTCCTCATCATCATCATCATCATCATCCTCATCATCATCATCATCATCATCATCATCATCACCATCACCATCACCATCATCATTACCGTCATCATCATCATCATCATCATCATCATCATCATCATCATCATCATCATCATCATCATCATCGTCATCGTCATCGTCGTCATCGTCATCGTCATCGTCATCATCGCCATCGTCATCATCATTACCATCATTAACATCAACATCACCACCATCATCAACATCATCATCAACATTAATTACCATCATCATCAACATTATTATATTGCATTATCCTGTTACTCCCCGCACACTGTTTGGGGTCCCTTGCCAGGATAATTGTTTGCAGCTCGCGCTAGGCCAACTCGGAGTGACAAGGTGGATCAGATCACCAACTCAAACCACCAGCTGAGGTGCCACTGGGATGATGAAATGTGTATCTCAGCTGGCCCAATCGTTGATTTCTATTCACTTTAGGGTGGTGCTTCAGAAAGACACACGATTTTCCCAACATGGATCAACAAAATCCACATCCATAAGTAGGCCCAGCCAGTGAAATGTGCCAAACTCGCCTGCGGCTGTAGCATCTGTTGCCTCTGCGCCGCGCTGGCTAGCAGCAAGGCCCGCAGATGAGGGTTCTGGCGCCAGTAGAAATGACCTGGCGCCGGCAGATTTTCGCAGCGGAAGATGAGATGGCCACATCACTGTTTAAAGAAAAACTTAGGGAGAAAAAAAAACACGTTTCAATTATGGTTTCTGATGGGGTTGAGCACCAGGCGGTATACGACCCCCGACTCATCCAAGGCCAAGGAGCTCAGGAAGTAGTTTCCCTGCCGCTCCATAAACACGCGCGTGCCATACTCCAGGATGCCCTGCGGCAGGTCAAGTGTGGCCCAAGCAGTGAGCGATGAGGGGTCAGCAAAGGCCTGTGGGAGCTCAGAATTTCTGACTTTTGGGACACTGATCCATTTAGGAAAAAGACACATCAGAAGGATTTTGCCCTTTTCAATCTTTTCATACAGAGACTCAACCAGATGAATCTATCTACTTTCCTAATGAACGAATATGAAAAAAAACCGTGCGGAGATCAAGTCTCTCACCAGCCGGACACCCTTCACACGGCCTCGGATACCCTGACCCCAGGTGGCATGGCGATGGCAGGGTACACCCCAGCTGCCTCCGGGGACGACAAGGTCTGGATGATGTTCATCATCTCCTCGGGCGTTTCAAAACGCCAACGGGTCAGCAGGACGTTCCGCTCCTCGGAATCGCGCAGGTCACTTCAATTCACCCGTTCCCAAGAAAAACTGGAAGAAAAAAGTGGAAAAGAAGTTTTGAGTTCAAAATCCCAAAAATGGGATCCTTTCGGAAATTGATGGAAATGGACTAAAAAGTGACCATCATTTTCGGTTTTCTGGCCATGTTTGGGATGCGGCCGTCGGGGTTCCACATATTCGTAGATCGAGGGCGTCCCTAACCAGATGGGCGTGATGCCGCGAGCGATGCAGTCCAGAAATTCGCTACCTTGAAAAGCGCCGAGGGGTTGAAATCATATCATGCATCACATATTATCTATATATGGATATGTTTTGTATATATAGTATATATAGATATATAGATATATAGATATATAGATATATAGATATTATAGATATATAGATATATAGATATATAGATATTATAGATATTATAGATATATAGATATATAGATATATAGATATATTGATATATAGATATATAGATATATAGATATATAGATATATAGATAAATAGATATATAGACAGATAGATAAATAAATATATAGATATATATATATAGATATAGATATATAGATATATATATATATAGAGATATATAGATATATATAGATATGTAGATATGTAGATATATAGAAAATAGATATATATATATATATATAGATATATATATAGATGTAAATATAGATACAGATACATAAAGTTCTGTAACAAAAAGATGGAAAAGTAATTCACAACACATGTAGTGGGATTTTACCCTTCTATTTTTCCGCGGGTTGCTAATTCTATGCTATGTTTTTCAATGCGTCATACTTGTGGATATGTATGATATGTAGTTCTACCATATTAGCAATCATTTAATGACTTCACATCATACTGTGGATGGGCCAGCGAAATCCTGCATCACCAATTTGGGATGGTTGAAACCCTACAAATAATGGAATGTTTGCAGGATGTCGCTGGCCCACCGCAACGCCGTAGCATCTTCCCAGGAAAGATGCCTGGGCCTAAAACCACGGTCTGGTAATCCAACACGGCAATGGAAAAATCAGCCATTTATAGAGGATGTTGGATTACCAGACATTTCTACTGGGTGATACTTTTCCATGATTCATGAAACCTCTATACAGTAAATGATACATATATATATATACGGAGGTTTCAAATGGGAAAATTATCGAACTAAATGGGGAAATCTTCATTGCCATGTTTGAAAAACCGGATGGCAATCAATGTATTTGTGACTTCCTGCCCGATATGATCACCTTCCCAGTACAACACCAAGCTGCTGATGTCTTCCCAAAACATCAGCCGGTACGGCGCTTGATCGCCCTGCAGCTACAGCGTCCAGGGATGGCATCAGGAAATGGGGTAAAGTGCACCACCTCTATAAAGCAACCAAAACTTATCTTTTACTGATATATGTATATATAATAAGTATGTTATAATGTAATCATATATTATATATATAATTATTATATACTATATATAATTATTATATATTATATTTAGTATTAAATATATAATGTTATAATATAATATATATACATATATATACATATATATATATATGCATATATATATATATACATATACATACATATACATATATATATGCATATATATATATATACATACATATATATATATATATCCCTCGGTGAATTCAGTTGCTTGCAAAAATGCAGCTTCATTTTCTAGACCCGTTTCTTTTCGATACTTATTCTTTCCTAACGGGCTTAGAGCCTCGCAATCCTCCTGGGCCAAACAAATGCGTAGCATCTGGTTGCGTGAAAGCTCCATGAAATAACCTCGCGAGCTCTGCAAAGTGACACCATACACTTGGTCAAGTTGGATCAAGTTGCATTGGTTCGCTTATCGTGCGTATATCATGATACATGATGTAACATTTATATATATATACACATTATATATCTAAAATATATATATAGTTGATTATATTTGGGTAGGTGACCAAAGCCAACTTATAACACTTTGACTTGGCAGGAAACGGTCAAACTCTGTTCAGGATCCATTCTCAACCACACAATAGTTCTCATGGAGCACACACAAACGAACGTTCAAGCTCCATGGATTGCACCCAAAATATCGTGAAAAGTTGGCAAGTCAAGAAAGGTTCAAAACAACCCCCCCAAAAAAAAAAAAGTTGCTAAGCAAGGCCAGAAACGATTCCAAGTGTCAGGGTCCTGGCACAGCAACAGAATGGATTAGGTCCCTGGCATCAAGAAGACAAATCGCCATCATCATCCCATGACATCCCATGATATCCCCATGTTTTTCCATGATTTTCCAAATGAAATATTCCCGAACCATAGGAATACAAACCTGTAGATATGCAAAAACCACCGGCGCTGTAGATATGCACTGCTCATCCCCTGGTGCCTAGTCACCGTCACATGTTCAACTTGGATCATCCCGGGTCACCGATGATGCCCTCCGGGAAACCCCGAAATAGTAGCAGAAAATTCATTGTCTTGTCTATCATCATCATCATCATCATCATCATCACCATCATCACCATCATCATCATCATCATCACCATCGTCATCCTCATCATCATCATCATCATCATCATGCATAAAAACATACAATGATGTGCATAATATATATATATATTTTTTTTTAATAAAAAAAAAAACATACAATTATGTGTATATTATATATATATATATAGACTTATACTGTATATCCATCTTTGTTCAATTCTGTTCATATGTTTTTCCGTTTCCCTTAGGACAGCAACCTTCATCCTTCTCAAACGATGCCATGAAGTCTCCCGTCCTGCAGCCAGCGTTGTGGATTTCCTCGGGCTTCCGTAGAGTAGACCTGGCGGCCGAGGGGATGCCGAAAGGAACCATTTTACAAGATACATAAGGCATGGTTTTTATGTATTGTTATGTATTGTTGTCTTATATATGTTTATATATTATTACATCTGTGACATATGATTGTGTATCATACTTGAGGCCGGGGGTGGATGACGAAAGCTAGCGGGGCAGGAGAAAGAAGGAAGGGAAGAGGTGAGTTGCGGAGGGACTGTCAGCATCGTGTCGCGGCATTGTTCGTCCCAACGAGGATGCAACAATGATATATTGATATATGATATATAACAATGATATATATGGGGGAGGGGGCAGGGGGGGGCCCTTTCGCGGGAAAAATCACGTGATGTCCTTGGGGAGCCCCGGAATACGTGCTAAAGCAAGAAGACTCTAGCGAGCTGACGCTAGCTTTCGTGATAATGACAATAATTGCCAATCCAATAATGATAAAATGTAATTGAATAACGATGATGATGATGATGATGATGATGATGACGATGATGATGATGATGAATGATGAATGATGAATGATGAATGATGAATGATGAATGATGAATGATGAATGATGAATGATGAATGATGAATGATGAATGATGAATGATGAATGATGAATGATGATGATGATGATGATGATGATGATGACGATGATGATGATGATGATGATGAATGATGATGATGAATGATGAATGATGAATGATGATGCCGATGACGATGACGAGGACGAGGACGAGGACGAGACGACGACGAGGACGACGACGACGACGACGACGATGATGATGATGATGATGATGATGATGATGATGATGATGATGACGAGGACGAGGACGAGGACGATGGAGAGGACGATGACGATGACGATGACGATGATGATGACGATGATGATGACGATGATGATGATGATGATGGTGGTGATGGTGGTGATGGTGGTGGTGGTGGGGGAGGGGAGGGGGGGGGTGGCTTGGACTGTTCCGTTCTATGTGACGGCTGCGCTTGTGAAGAAATAGGGCAGTCTATTAATGAAACATGCATGCATAAGTCTAAGTATTATATTTATAAACTTATCATACATGGATTAAAATACATGTGTATGTATAGACATACATACATAAGATTACATTACCTTACTTTTCGTCACGTCAGATTACATAACAAAACAAAACATAACATACACAACCATACATAATTACATACTAACTAAATGCATACATTCATAGATACAGACATAGAAAAACCCATACAGGCATGCATTATACGTATGCATACGTATGCAGAGAAGCATACATTCATAGATACAGACATAGAAAAACCCATACAGGCATGCATTCATACGTATGCATACGTATGCAGAGAAGCACGCGGGGTTCGCGGGGTTCGCGGGGTTGGCGGGGCTCGGCGGGGCTCGCAGGGGGATCGCGGGGGTTTGGAGGGGTTAGCAGGGTTCGCGGAGGTTGCGGGGTTGGCGGGGTGGGGTGGCGGGTTGCCGGGGTTCGCGGGGTGTGGCGGGTTCCGGGGGGTAGGGTGATTCGCGGGAGTCGCGGGAGTCGTGGGGTTCCAGCGGGGTTCGCGGGTTAGAGGGGATGAGGGGTCGCGGGGTTGGCGGCGGTGGCGGAGGTAGGGCGGGGTCGGCGGTGGTCGGCGGGGTCGCGCGGGGGGGGATCGCGGGGTTCGCGGGGTTGGCGGGGTTTGCGGGGTTGGCGGGGTTCGCGGGGTTGGCGGGTGGTAGGACGGGGGCTCGCGGAGGTGTGAGCGGGTGGGGTTCGCGGGGTCGGGGGTTCGCGGGCGAAGGTTGGCTGGGGGTGGGCGGTGGGTGGACGGGGATTGGCTGGGGTTTGGCGGAGGTTGCGGGGTGGCGGGTCGACGGGAGTTCCGCGTGGTCCGCGGGTGTACGCGGGGTTAGCGTGGGTTGGCGGGGTTCCGTCGGGGTAAGGTTCGCGGGGGTTGGCGGCGCGGGGCTGGAGGGGTTCGCGGGGTTGGCGGGGCTCGCCGGGGCTAGCGGGCGTTCGAAGGGGTTGGCGGGAGTTGGGGGTTGGGGGGTCGGCGGTGTAGGCGGGGTACGTTTGGAGGGGGGGGTCGCGGGTTGGAGGGGGTTAGCGGGGTTCGCGGGGCTCGCAGGGGTTCGCGGGGTTCCGAGGGGTTCGCGGGGTTAGCTGGTGTTGGGTTCGCGTTTCAGTCTTCGGTCGGAGGGAGGTCAGCGGGGTTGTTGCGCTGGGGGTTGGGGGGTTCGCGGGGTTGGCGGGGTTGGCGGGGTTCGCGGGGTACAGCATCATCATCATCATCATCATCATCATCATCATCATCATCATCATCATCATCATCATCATCATCATCGTCATCATCATCATCGTCATCGTCATCGTCACCGTCATCGTCATCATCATCATCATCATCATCATCATCATATCATCATCATCATCATCATATCATATCATCTCATCTCATCATCATCATCATCATCATCATATCATATCATCATGATCATCATCATCATCATCATCACCATCATCATCATCACCATCATCATCATTATCATCATCATTATCTTCATCTTCATCTGCATCATCATCACTGCCATCATCATCATGATCATCATCATCATCATCACTGCCATCATCATCATGATCATCATGATCATCATCACCATCATCATCATTATCATCATCATTATTTCATCTTCATCTGCATCATCATCATCATCATCATCAACAACAACAACATCACAATTTGCCATCATCGTCATCATGAGTCAAGATTATGATCATCATCATGATCCGCATCCACAAATGACACCACCTACATCACCCACATCGTCATCAACATCTCCGACATCATCTCCGACATCATCTCCTTTGTTTCTGCTTTGGTACATTGAAACCTTGATTGCCTGAAACGCTAATTGACGTTAAACATGGTCGAACTTCAAATCAGAGAGGTTCGAGCTTTGATTTAAGGCTCCGAAGTAAATTCACATTAACAAACTCAGTGCTTGTGCAAATGCAAATGGAAGTCTATAGTGCGCAGAGAAGCGTTTGGGGAAATGTGGGGGGAAAAATTTATGCCGTAGAAGCCAGCGGCAGTTTGTGTTCAAGTTGAAGTTGAAACAGGGTTTTCGATTTAAATGATGTTTTGTAGCGTCGAGGAAAACCTTGCGTCAAGATGTGATATTGCCTTACTGCGATCTCGGAAACAAAAGCTTTATCCAGAGAAGCAAGTGTGTGCTTAAGTACAAGTGAAGAGCCAAAGCGTAGCAGCAAGTTATGATTGAAGATGAGCTATAACCTGAGGATGAATGTTTCTTCTCTCTCTCCAGATCATTTCTGTTAAAGGCCTTTTGTCGCATAGTTCCTAACAGTCCATCTCTTCCGGGGGGGCCGGCCCCCCCCTTTCGCGTGAAAAATCACGTGATGTCCTTGAGCAGCCCCCCGAATACTTGCTAAAGCAAGAAGACTCCAGCTAGCTGACGCTAGCTTTCGTGAATTGACGATCGATATTTTATATGTGTGACATATCATTGTGTATCATAATTGATTATCTATATTTTATATGTAGAGACCCGAAAGTTACGGTGAAAGTCATGCGTGTATGGCGGCCATGGTTTTCGTGAAAAGCGTTAGCCGTGCTGGACTCTTTGGCTTCAAGCCGTCGAAGACGAAAACACATGTTCGTCATTTTGGATACTGGAGTTGTGATATAATCATTTCCAGACTGGAAATGAGATAAAATGAGTCCTCTGAAAACCATAAAATTTAGGGTGACCAAAAATTGTTGAGGTCGCTATACTATCATGTGGTAAGCTCTGAATCGCTCCAACTGGTCCCCATTTGATATGTACAAAATGGGAATACGGATCGCAAAAAAGCTCCACAACGCTCCATCCATTCACCACTGGATAGTAGAATTTACGCACATCATCCCAGATCCCTAAATCCCTCATTCTCAGAAAAAGAAACTTACACACACGCAGATACATATATATATATATGGATGCTTGTTTACATAACTTTATATACTTCATGATCATAATTTGTCTTGGGTGACCTCCCAAAACCCTCATGCTGAGGTTGCCATGCTTGCCCCATCGTTCCCAGCGGCTTTGTACGCATGGAAGGAGACAGCAAACGTCACCCGCGGCAGCGGCTCCCCCGGTGCCCACGGCAATGGCACCAGCGGCTGCGGCTGCGAGGCGTGGGGATCCACTGGGAAGATGCGACAGGGCGGCGGAGAAAGGCGGAAGCTGTCCAGGAGATACTCGTCCTGCCGGAAGGCGCTTGGGGAGTTTCGGCAGTCGAGGCAGTTTTCATTGGAGATGTTAGAAGTGTGTTGTCTTAAGTCTGTCTAAATCACCTATGACATCTGGGTAAGTTTGGGTCAACCCCAAGGTGTCGCCATTCCGATGGCAATCTTATCCACCATTGAGAGTCAGGTCTGAGTTTGACATATGAATGAGCAGTCTTGTGGCTAAATGCCTCTGAGTTTGGAATGGTTTTCTCCCAGAAGAACCTCTTTAAGTGGCCCGAAGTGCTGGGTTTTGTCCCCAAGTGCTTGGAGTGATTTATAAGCCATATACAACTGGGGATATTCTACATACAACTCGCGAGGCCTGGGGATGAAAATACGGTGCCCCAGTTTTGATGGCCCTAAGTGGGGTGTATACCTGCTGTTCCCCGCCATGTTTGTCTGCAAAACACGCACCTCCCAATGGTGCAACAGCACCGGTCTCTAGCGACTACTCTCAGGAAGACCCTCCAAAAAAAACGTATTTCAACCGGTGAATCTATTTTTACAGCAAAAACCGCACAAACCAAATGGTTAGGTGATCGAATCGAACTATCACCACCAGCTAGTCAATTTCATCCTCCAGCAGCAAGGCATGGTAGAGCTCGCAAAGTCTCCGCTCCCTGGGTAGCCAATCCATGGCAACACCACGGCCTTTGGCCCACAAAACATGGAAGCTGCAGTCGGCCTCGGTGGAAAAGCTGGGACCAGCTGGGAGGCATGCGGCTGAGGGGGTAGCATTTAATTGACTCCATGATATTTTTGAGGGACAATGGATATTCAAAGCCATCCCCAAGAAAGTGGTGCATGGTCTTGGGTCTGCCTATGAGGCCCATACATTTTTAAAAAAACAAACGTCAAGAATTTACCTGTTTGATTCCCCAAAACGGTAGTTCAAACTCAAACAGCCTTGAACATATTGATGAAACCCCAACATCCCTTCAAAAAAAAATGAACGTTATTTCTAAGTATATAATTACCCCATATTACCCCTCCTAGATCATGTTTTTTAAAGGGGTTTTCTTAGTCTTTCCCTGTCCCCAACCCTGCCGCCGAACCGAAACCGAGGAGCGAAGGGCCCTTGCCTCACCGCCTCCGCGTCTAGCCCGCTGGGCCTCGCCATCGCCTCCGGCACTGCCTCCGGAGCCTCGTAGACGTCCAGCAGCAGGCAGTCCTCAGGGCCAAGCTACTGGTACCCTCTGGTAATTTAACGTAGCTATGGAAAATCACCATTTTTAGTGGGAAAATCAACTATTAATGGCCATTTTCAATAGCTATGTTAAATTACCAGAGGGTAGCTATTGAAAATGGCACACTTACTTTGTTGATTTACCGAACTTAAAGACGGTGATTTTCCAGTTCGCTATGTTTCTTTTACTAGAGGGTACTCTGGGTCGAAGGCTGTTTGGGATGGGCCAAAACATGCCAAGACTGTTCAATCCACTGCCCATTGGATTTTGCTTGACAATGTGCGGCCCAAATTTGCATTACCGTCAAATTGCAAAAATTGGCATAGTTTAACTTCATTAGCTAATCCAATTAAGCAGTTTCGCAATCAATATACACATCCCGTGTGTGTATGTGTACATGTGTACATATATATATATATATATATTAATGAATAATAAAATATATATATATATATACACATATATATATATACATATATATGATATAATATATATATACACATATATATATACATATATATACATATATATGATATAATATATATATACACATATAATTATATATCCGTGTGTGTGTGTATGTCTGCAACCATCTATGGTGACGCCCAAGGCTCTCCCGGCTCTCGGCCCAACGCTTGCTGCGCGGGCTCCACAGCGTTGGTCAACGAAACGCGGAGCGTTCGCAAGGCCAGCTGTGGCTGGCTGCCATGGAGCTTGGGGATGGCCTGGCAAAGTTGTAGCAGTGCTATGTGCCCACTGAAAATCTAACATAGCCATGGAAATATATGGACATCATATGAAATCATCGTGTTTAATAGGTCATTCATCTATAAATGGGCTATACGGCTATACCAGAGCTATGTGGAACTTCCGGAGGGTGATGTGGGATTAAAAGCTGAGGTCAACCAGTTTGACGATGGTTTTTGGTAGATGATACGAATAGTGGGGGGTCATTAAAACCAACTTAGAAGTGTTAGGTGTGGCCGCAGCTTGTATTTTCCTGGTGGCATTTTTCGCAATGGATCGGAAGAATCATGTGGGGATCACCCTTACAACCAATAGCTACATCCCAGAGAAACTGGTGTTGAAACCCCCAGCAAATTCAGTTGGTTCAGTGTTGTCATAATGCTCAAGGAAAGGCAAGAACAACGACCATTCTGAATAATTGTCGTGATTGTACATATGTGCGCCTTGGGTTTACAAATGATTGTAATTTGCAACTAAAGTCATAGCACCTTGATCATTGCTTGGACTTACACATGCTAGCCGGAGAGTTTGATTATGACAATCGTACTCAGTAAGATCGACTAATATCAAATGATATGTGCCAGTCAATAATCAGTAATAATATTCTTAATATTTCTTAATTTAGCAATATTCTCCGAAATTCTTCATTTGATATTGGTGCTGCACCGTAGACACTTCCAGTGGGCTCATCCTGAGTCCGTTCCTGAACCGGCCTCCTGCCAAAGCTTCAACAGAGACTCCTGCAACGGTCAAACGCGGCTAGCTGGAAAATCCTCTATGAATGGAGGTTTGTAGCTGGGAAGATCTACAAATGGAGAATGTGAGTATGCGTCAACATTGGAAACCTGGGTCCCAAACATTTGAAATCATTGGAATTCTGGGTCACCAAAAATGGGAACCATGCACAAGAAGGGCTGGAAACATGACAAAAATGGGTGGCAAGAACAGATGACCCTCCAGTAGACTGGCATCGATATGGAAATCCACCATTTGCAGAGGGAACATGAGGAAAATAGCTACTGTTACACCGTTAAACCACGCATGTGTTCATGGTTTATACCACCCATTTAGGGCAAATTTGGGGGTGATTTCCACAGATTTTCAGCACAAGCCATGCTGAGCCAAGACTAAACCAGCGACCTCCAGCAACGCCGGGGCAACCGGCAGCAGGGCGGCAAGGTAAGCATAGCGAGAAGTGGGCATGGCTGTTGAAAAGCGGCAAGTGGATTGTAGCTGGGGATAGCAACTGAGTTAGTGACAGGTGGTTGGGTTTCTTTGGGGTGTCAAATAGAGAAAGAAAAGGCAACAAAACCAACAACAAAAAAAGAGACCCGTTGAAGATGTCAAATTTTGTTACCATCTGGTTATTTAACATAGCCATGGAAAATCACCATGTTTAATAGGTACAGGTAAAACATCTATTTCTATGGGCCATCTATACCATGGCTATGTTAGTCATAACCAGAGGGTATCTGATTCTTCCGGAAAGCCCAGACAATGGCCTTTTCACAGGGGGTATCGCCACTATTCTTGGGCCCCAAATGATTGTAGCTAGCTGGGCTGTGCCCCATGATATCGCCACCTTTAAAGGTCTACTTCCTGAAAGTTGGACACTCAAACCGCATCAAAAAGAGGAATAGCCATAAAAGGCATGATTTTTTCCATCTGGTTATTTAACATAGCCATGGGAAATGGCCCATTTATATATAGATAGTTTACCTATTAAAAATGGTGATGTTCCATGGCTATGTTAAATAACCAGAGGGTAGTCCCTAATAATTCCATCCCCAAAAGCATCACGGTAGTCCTTTGGGGGTGCGAACTTCGGATGAAAACTTAAATCATTCGAAACCATCCACCAGCACGGGCCTTCAAGATATTCCAGTCATGTTTCAGATTTGAAATGGCCCTTACTAGTTTTACATTGTTTTTCAAGTTGGAAACAAATTGGTTTCCAATTTGGACCAGGGTTTCTAGATTAGGCCACCTTTCTCAGTTTTTTTCACCAGGGCATTTTACTTGCCTATCAAGTTTAGCTTTTGCCTAATCACCAGGGTTTCTAATTTACAGCAATATCAGGTGATTAGGCAAAACTCCAACCATTGACGCTGTGAGCCAAGCCGCGGCTCTTTTTTTATCAAGGTGGAGATCGGCTCACCGGAAAAGCACACCGAACTTTACAGCATTGTTGTGCAGTAAATAGAAAACATCTATATATATATATAAGGCATTTATTTACCCCAAAAACAAAACTATAGTGATATTGCCACTACCATCTGGTTATTGAACATAGCCATGGTATAGATGACCCATAGAAATAGATGGTTTACCGAACTTAATAGCATGGCGGATCTTTCCATGGCGAACTGTTAACCAGATGGTAGTGGCAATATCACACCAGAGGGCATTTACTTGGATTTGCTCTTTCGGGTCCCCAAAAAAATAAATCATATTCAAATATATTCACTGTAGATTCCCCACCATTTGTGGATGTTCCATTGGGAAAATAAACCCAATCACCGACTAAACAAAGCCAGGTTTACGTTTGCGATTTCTCATGGTCCTCAAAGCCCATCCGCTTTGGGAAGCGGGGTGAGCGGCGACCAACGCTGACATGACATCCCACGTAGACTCAAGCATGCCAAGTACTGAGCAATAGGATATATATATATATATATATCAGTAATCAATAGGAAAGAAATATCAGTAATCAACACACACACACACATATATATATATGTACATATTTATACAGGTAATTAGAAGCTCGATGTGTCTTTTTCACCCCGGCTCGTTATTTCTCTCAATGGGATATGTCATATGTCGGTCGAGGACCTTTCCACTGGATCCCATTCGGTGCGGCCACCGCGTTTTCTACGGCGAAGCATTCAGCTCTGGTTCTGCCATCGCGTCAGCCTCTCTCAGTGCGCCTGACAGACATGTCCTAGGTATATGTTATAGCAGGCTCCTTTAAAAATATGAGTGGAAAATAGTCAAATCCCACTAAAGTGGTGATAAATCTTCGCGGGGGTTGATATGTTTGTTTAGATATGAATCAAAAACCTTGGTATACAGCTGGACTCGCTGATCATAAAAAAGGAGAGCCCCTTATGTGATGAAGCTCGCACTAAGCGATTAGTAGTGATGAACCCATCACGAACACATACGAATACAGTATTCAATCTATGAATCTATAAATTTGTCTATATATATATATATGTATTTTTGTGTTTCCTCCTATTTCCAATTTGGGATATCAATCCCCATATCTTGGCTACTTTTTAGATACAAACCACAACAAATGAGGATGTCATGCGGGTACAACCAACCAAAGTGAGAAAAATTGCTAACAAGTTCATGGCATCATATCATACCCTTAATCCTGGTATATCTTGGTTACCCGGCCACAAAAAGAAAACCAACTGTTACAGTAACTGGGCATTTTGTATCTCATGCTATTTCCAAATCATGGCATTTAGTGAATTGCTCTCTAGCTTGTTCGATGGGCAAATTGGCCAATGGGTTTGGCCAAATTGCCATGGCATTACCCATGGTCCATTGAGTTTGATGATGATGATTTTTACTTATCAAAAATGGTGATGTCCTACGTTAAATCACCAGATGGTACCCTCTGGTAAATTAACATAGACCCTGGCAGATAGGGGTTGGAAGACTAGTTTCCATTAAAAATTGGTGATTTTCAGGGTCAACAAGTTAATTTACCAGATGGTAAATGACCCTATTCGATCGCATTCTATCCACTTCCCGCTTAAATCTCCACCCATGAACCCTCCGAAAAACACCCACGTCGTGCGGGTTCCAAGTTCTGCTTCCGGCCTGCCCCTTCCGGTGATTCCATTGCACCAGAAGCTTCATCTGGCAGCCAAGGTGAGGAGTCGCTGGTTAGCTTCATGCGGTTTTCATAGATATCTCTCTCACTCTCTCTGCGGGATTATGTTTCTTATGTGTATATATATATACACATATATATATATATACATATATATATATATGTGTGTGTGCACTGTGTTTTTACAAGTGTCTCTCAACGATATATATATATATATGTGCATATATATATATATTATAATATCAATATCCCCATCAAAATGGCAGAAGATATATACATAATATATATATATATATTATATATATATATAATAACATTATAAAACTGAAGTTGTATGTACAAAACTAATTAAACTAGCAACTGACCAAGGTTTACGTCCGACCCAGCTTCTGCATCGTCAGGTCATGGTTTCCCCATGAGCATCATCTACCATTGTATTTATAGCAACCTCCTCTCCCAAAATCCAAAAAAAAACATGGTAAATCATATAAAATCTGAGTCTATCATGGTCCAGGTGACTGTTCAATCTTCTTTGGGGCCAAAAGCAGGTGATGCTCTTTTTCGAGTCTGCTCAAGGATGCCGGCACGCCCAGGTTAGAGAAACCCAAGAACTTCACGTGTTACATAGGCATATCAGAATTTTTCTGGGTTTCTTCATCCAATTCCCGATGCGCACCGGGCCACCTGCAGGTGCTTCGGGTAAATCGATGCTTTTGGCGCTGGGAGAATTGATCGCATGCCGAAGAGCCTGGGAAACATCAAGAGGTCAACCATGCAAGCAGGCACTGTCTCCATCTTGTGCGGGCGTTCTCATGGCTCATCTTAGAATACTTAAACAAAGTTAATGATCCTGGTGATTGGCAATGTGAGCTGGGGAGATAGCCCGTGATTATATCACATGTTTCTGATGTTTAAACCATGTTAAACACATATGTGAATGCTTAAATCAACTTAAATCTTCCACTGTTAGTTCCTTAGTCTCCCCATATCACATCACGTCACATCACATCAAATCAATTCATATCAACTAATATCACCCACACATACATATACATATATATATATTCTACTACATAATGTTATAACATATATATATATATACATTCTACTACATAATATTATAACATATATATATATATATATATATTTATTTATTTATGTGTGTGTGTGTGCCTAGAGTATATATTATACAGATCTATAACTATAACCCAGTGCCAGCATTTTTGGACCAGTTGGTCCATTCTTCGGCTCGGCACCGCGAGGAGTTCGTCGGAGGACATCTGTTCCAAGTGCTCAGGGAAGGCCCAGAGGAGGCGCCACCCAAGCGCCTGAGGGATTCTCGGCGGAAGATGTGATCTGGGTCACTCTACGAAGAAAATCTACCCTCTGGTAAACATACAAAAAGCTATTGAAAATTGCAATTTATAGTGGGTTTACCCATTGAAAATTGTGATTTTCCATAGTTATGTTAGTTTACCAGAGGGTAACAAACCTGAGAGAAACCTGTTTTTGGGGAGGTTCCCCTGTGAACATCTTTATTTGGGTGAGGTCGCTGTGACGCCGCTAATCAATGCTAATCATCCAGATTTGATGGAAAAATGCGGAGGTTGGCTGTTTAGAAGTGGGTGGTGAAACTATAGTACAAGGGACTAAAAATCAGGGTTGCTCCTAACACCCCAGGCATCCCAGACCCAAGGGATATGTAAATTGGGTAATTCTTAAAGAGGTAAAATGAGACATTTCCCCTTTGTGGCTACCTCTGCTAGGTTGGAGCACCCTTGAAAATCTGGAAAGCGATTTTTCGAAGTATAAAGTCACAAAGATGACCTGCACACATGTCACAGAATGATGCACTCCATGGTTGAAACATGTTGAAACCACGAAAAAATCCACTCAGATGAAGCCCAAAATTTGG